GTGACTCGAGACGCAGAACACTCGAGGACGGAGCATGTGGAAGACGCCTCAATGAGTGCGAGGGTCGAGTTCCGGCTCGGAGAGCGTCGGAAATCATTCCAGAACGTACAGAGCTTACAAAGATCATCTAGTCAGTCTCGGCGAGAGTACTGACGCATGACAACGGACTACACCAGCGAAGTAATTACACAAAATATGGGGCTATCAATCAGATAGGAAAAACCACTTGAAGTCGAGCCCCTCTTCGATCTGTGATCAATGTTCCTGGTTGCCTCGAGGAATAGCCTTGCGAGTTGTGAGCTAATCTATGTACGTTCACTCAAGTCGCCATTGAACGGGCTACGGAATCCTAGATTGCCGATTCCCACGGAACATTCTGGCTCCCGACTCCCGAAACATGAGGGGTTTTTGAACAGGAGTCCCAAACTTAGAATATCGTCTCTCGAATCAACCGAAATCATTCGCTCATTCTCTTCTCACACTTCGACTTCCATCTGAGATTAAGAGGACTGAAAGGTCGCTGTCGTTTCTAATTGCTGCGAGAACCTCCACGATCCCAGGAACGACATTCATTCATAATCAGATGAGATCGCTTCGTCGCTTACACCTATCACGGATCCAGACGATCTTCCGACCTATGGCGTGGAATATGACGGAGAGCCCATCTATTCATTGTATTCACTATTCCCTCTGGCCGAAAATTCACCATTCAGAGCAGAAACTTTGCCTCCGTGCGGCCTCCCGGTGTCCGCCGTCGTGCTGTCGATTATGTGTATGAGTTTGTGAATGGACTTGTAAGAAGATCGCGGGCAGCGATATTCCCCGGTGTTTCGAGTCGATTCCGGATGGAAACACTATGAATGCCGCGTCGAGTCGCGAATCCTGGCGGGAAACGCAGCACTAATCATGAGACGATCTCCGCGTCATAGGGAGACTCCTACGGTCCGGATCAATGGCGCTGAAGCGGCAGGTCCCGGTCGAACGGAGTTCTCCTACATCAACGAGTTCGTTCGACGTCGGGTTCAGGGGCGCGCACAGGATTGTTCCTAGGAGGAGGGGGGAATGCGAGCTTTGGAGAGGCCAGACGACGGGATGATGATGCGCCCCCTCAAGGTCCATGCTTGGGACTTGGGACTACGAACGAAAAAGTTTGGAGGCGGTCGTGGCCCCTCGCCCCCTGTCTGGACGCGCCTCCGAATGGGTTGACCGTGCTCGGAATGCGGAGGAGATTCCCCAATCCCGATGCCGTGGATCCTCCTCGATTATCCTAACGTGTCTCTCCTCCAACGTCCGAACTTTCTTGAAGATGTGAATATAACGTCACCGCGGCCGCTCTCTGAAGCACACCAGTCCTTGAGGATCGACTCAGTAGACTGGCCCAGCATCCTCACGGATCCGATCCCACCCTTGGTGGGCTGACGGAGAGAACGTCGTCTCTAATCGTTCACCCCGCTCGAAACACCACATTTTCATCTAGCCCGAACAAATGCTTTGAGTTGCAAGTTCGGATGCTGTCCTGCGAATTCATTTCTCATCCTCGCGCGTTTCCGAATCACTCAAACGCTCAGCCGCCTGCTCGCTCTGCCGTGATTCTGTGTCTTCTCCCGTCGAGCGTAGAGTCAACGCGGTTCGGCAAGAAGGGATCAAACTTGTCATGATTGGTGGTCCCTCGACACGTGAGCATCGTCAAAGATTTGCCGCTGCAGGGAGCGGGCGAAGAAAGGACGGAAGAATGCCGAGCCGGCTCAGTCGCCACGTCGGCATTCTGACAAAGCTGGTCAATGAGAAACCAACGAGCCTCAAGACAAATGAGTGTTCGCACACTCATCGCAGGCATCGATGACGACGGATTCTCGATGCCCTATACAGTCAGCAGCAGATATCTTACGCGATTTCTGGACACCGAGCTTCCGATCGAGCTTCATAAGGGGGGACTCGGAAGAATTCCATCTCCGGGGGATCGTCCACAAGAGGAAACGACTTATTGAGAACGATGATCCGGAGATTGAACACATCAATATTGATCAGCGGTTGGCTTTCTCTCACCAAACCTCTGCCATCGGAGCATGCTGTCGTTGTCATGGAGTTTGAAAAAAACGCGACGGCGCGGCGGAGGAAGTTTTGTCCGGGGGACCGGGGTTCGTGGGACTTTTAGTGGGACAGCGATGGCGGGGGAGGTAGTAGAGTAGTCGCTACTCGTCCCGCTTGAATCAAAGATCTATCTGATCTGGGAGGGAGCGGCAACCAATCCGAGTCGGGACACTGATTTGCCCCGAGTTAGCTGGACGAGCTCGCAGATTACCCTCGATCTCGACGCCTGGAACATCAGGGGGCTGTAGGATTTGAGCCTTGAACTCGATTTTTAAAGCTTGCGTAGTCCGGATGTTCAATCCGTGGCACCGAGCCGGATAGCGTCGGTAACCGATGAGTAGATATGAGGAGTTCAGGCTCCGGAATGCCAGAAAGAAGGCTGGCAGGAAGGCCCTAGAAAAATAGAAAGTGGACTAGCTGGAAGGCACTGAAAAACTCGACAGGAGGCCGGCAGGGAGGCAGTAAAAAACTGGCCTAGCTAGAAAGGCGGAATGAGTCATGAAACACGATCAGGAAGGATTCAGGGAAAGCCCTTCCAAGGACGAGAATATTGAGTTGCAGCTCCTCGTTCATACTCTACGGCAGTGGTTCGCAAACTGGGTTCCGCGGAGCCCCTAGATTCCGCGGGCTTTTCCCGGGGCTCCGCATAAATCCGATCGGGGAGCTCTAAGGTTCCGCCGGGCGAAGGGTGCTTACTAGAGCTAGGAAGCTCAAGCGTATATAATAAGCATTGTAAGCATCCGGAATGAGCATCATAAGCACTCACAATAAGCATCATGAGCATACGAAATAAGCATTCATACGCAATGGTAAGCATTAATAAGCGTTTATTGTTCTGGGCCACTCTCGAACCCCGAAGTTCGGAAACGCGCAGAAGATGAACTTAGCGGTCAGCAGCCCGAGACACAGGCGGACAGGGGGGTTGGGAAGTGGGAATCTAGCTGAGAAGGTCGGTAGAGTTATCAAACCTCATTCACTGCACATCGGTATAAGGTGTTATCTTGCTTTTCCCGGTGTCATCGAATGTCTCCGATCAGAAAGGAGTGCTCTGTAGCGGGAGAAGCGTCTCCCTACATCCACACTTACTAGGCGAGTGCAGTTGAAAGATGAGAGCTTCATAGGTTCTCGCTTTTCGTTCGTAGTAGAGCTCTCCTGATAGACAAGCATCCAGAGGCCTGCGCAAAACGTCGATAGAAGCGTGGAGGAGCTTTCCGCAACCTGAAGACATCCACAGATGCTTGATCCGTTCTTATGGAGCGCTACGGAACACTCAAAAACGTTCGGGAATACCCAAGAATGCTCGAAAATCGTAAATGCTTATTGATGCTTATAAAGAAATGCTTATGAATAATCATGAATGCTTATTGATTCTTACATGCTTGATGATGCTTATGAATGCTTGAACTTCCTGGCTCTAGTGATTACACAATGAAATTTCGAATTCTGACTATAAGCACGTATCTCTGCGAGCGGGGATTTTCGATTTACATTGCGACCAAGAACAAGTATCGGAACCGTTTGGATGCCGAACCAGACATGAGGCTACAACTGTCAGGAAAGACAACAAACTTCGCTGAGATTTTGTTCGGATGCCAGATTCATCCGTGACATTTAGGGGAATCTTCGTTAAGAAATAGTTGTAGGAGTCTAAAGTTCGAAAGGTGTACCTATCATGCAGCTGCTCATAAATATCGGAGCTTCAGAGCTTTGTGATTGGAGGTGTTTTCCGATAGCTAGGGCCCCGATTCAGCGACCAGACAGAGGAATTCGTATATTTAGTCCGCCAGGGGTTCCGGGGCTCATTCCAGGGGCAGTAGGGGTTCCGCGCGAAAAAAAGTTTGGGAACTACTGCTCTGCGGTATTGAGCGTAATTCGGGTGCGAGGCGCATCTATGGGAAGTTAGAGATTTTTCTCGGGGATCAGGCTTGTAGCTATCAGGTTCGGGGAGCCAAAGAGCGGCTCCGAGAATCGGCCAACCCGAGAGCTCGACTTGAAGAGGGAGCAGCATCATTCGACTGCTCTAGAATAAGAATTTCATACGGATATCAAAATCGACGAAATGAGCTGACTGCGCGCCGCCCTATCGGATGAAGTCTGGGCCGAGTGCATGACATCTTTAGGAGCTGGGAATGCGACTCATGAACCTCGACGAGTCATAAAGTCGACGTGGGGTCGAAGTTCTAGCCCAGGGGCTGTTTCCATGGAGAAACTCGATAGTCTGACGAACGAAGAAGTGAAAAACGCTCACGAAACCTAAATTCCTCAGAAAAGAAACAGGATGGTGACGGAACAAAAACTAGGCATTTTGAGGCAATTATGACATCCTGCCTGAACTACAAATCTCTACTGATGAGCATCGCATTACATGCAGAAACGGGTAGATTGCGGAGCTTCGTTCCCGGTTTGGGAGAGTATTCGTCCGGATATTGATAGAGGACGAGCGCTTCAACTTGTCGAATATCTCACCTCCTAACCCCCGGTATTCACAAGATGATGTGCCGGTAATTATCTCGAGAACTGCGATGACTCCAAGCTCCAGCTCCTGTGATGCTTAAAAAGAGCAGGAATGTGGATGAATCCGAATCCAGAAGCTAAAAATTCAGAACGTCGTCCCGAAGCCATGACCTAGGAGTGCATCGTGCAATAGAACGAAAATAGCATCCGAGATAGATTACGACATCATGCATGCAGGAATGAGGTCGCCCGATGAACAACGGATGTTTCCGAAGCTCCAGAAATGGACAGTTTCGATCACGCAGAGTCAATTTTTTGAATACTGACTCGCGAGTACGAAGAACACGATATGAGTACCAAGGTAGCTGGCTCTGTTTTCTTTAGAAGTTCTCAACGAGTCTCCACCCTGGCAAATCATCAATGGTCGTCACTGAAGACTCTCTTTCTACTTTCAGGGTTCCCTTTCACCGGACAAGGGCGTGTGAATCAACTTGGAGGTGTTTTCATAAATGGACGACCTCTGCCGACCCACGTACGATTGAAAATAGTAGAAATGGCTGCGGCCGGTGTACGGCCTTGTGTGATCTCTCGACAGCTGCGGGTATCCCACGGCTGTGTGTCCAAAATTCTCAATAGATACCAGGTAAGCCTTGTCTTCTATGCCAAGTCTAGAGCCGACGCAGTGAAATATGGGATGAACTCACATGGGAGAAGGCGGGGTACCTCCAACGGGATCGCTCCAACAGATTATAATCAGTCTCTTCAAGAGCACTTATCCTCGGTGCCAAGAATATCCGGGGTACATCAGGAACCCGATGCGGGGTCCTCAGGAAGATTCATACCTTGGAGCTTGTGAGGATCTATCGCCCCATATGTATTGTCGGACCTCGATGCGCTGACACATTAGTTTGCTCCAGGAAGGTTCGCTGCCGATAGATCCTATTTATATGCACGGACGCCGCTCGCGCAGGAGGAGGCGGGGGTTCGATCCCTGCTACCAGTAGAATAAGCGGCACACGGCCTTGATCCTCCTGGGTACATTTGCTCTTTGGATCCGTCACCGGAAGCAATGTGAATGACTGTACCCGGGACCTTATACCTTGGCTATGTGGTCCGATGAAGTTTTCTTGATCCTCTCACGAATTCGGATTCGATTCGTGTTTCTAGCTTTCTTGCGAAACTTGAATTTTCCAAAGACTAGGTTCCACTCCCATCTTTCTCGCATCGGAACCACCCTCGCGAGCCAGACAGATATCCAGTATAGATGGAATAGATGGAATAGATGGAATAGATGGAATAGATGGAATAGATGGAATAGATGGAATAGATGGAATAGATGGAATAGATGGAATAGATGGAATAGATGGAATAGATGGAATAGATGGAATAGATGGAATAGATGGAATAGATGGAATAGATGGAATAGATGGAATAGATGGAATAGATGGAATAGATGGAATAGATGGAATAGATGGAATAGATGGAATAGATGGAATAGATGGAATAGATGGAATAGATGGAATAGATGGAATAGATGGAATAGATGGAATAGATGGAATAGATGGAATAGATGGAATAGATGGAATAGATGGATAGATGGAATAGATGGAATAGATGGAATAGATGGAATAGATGGAATAGATGGAATAGATGGAATAGATGGAATAGATGGAATAGATGGAATAGATGGAATAGATGGAATAGATGGAATAGATGGAATAGATGGAATAGATGGAATAGATGGAATAGATGGAATAGATGGAATAGATGGAATAGATGGAATAGATGGAATAGATGGAGTAGATGTAATAGATGGAATAGATTTGAGAGATAGGTTTGAGACAGACGTTTCAAATCCTTCCCCGAATATAGAACGGAGCGAGCTTCGGCTCAGAACTCGGATTCGCCACCATGTTCGAACGGGATCAGACCGTCGCAGTAAGAATGTCAGCCTGTAGAGGAAGCTTTGTTGAAGATAGAGAACTTTGATCGATGGGAATTAGAGCGCAAGGCGGGGAATCCGTTCAGCAATCAACAGATTCTGTTCAAGCCCACTGGGGAGGTTGGGCCCGGGATCCAGGTTCCGTCTCCTGGCAGCATCACCGGTAGCCGGATGGAAAAAAATTCAAGTGGGGGTCTTACAACACAAGGGACGAACCGAAGTCCAATTCCATCGCTCATTTCTGTGAAGACAGTGAGAGGTAGGGAGAGAGATGACTTGGGGATGAAAAAACTCGTCTCCTTGAGACCTTTATCCTTCAACGTCTTGGAGGGTAGGTGCCAGAACTGGGCGACACGCGTCTGCAGCCGGGGTGATGATTCGGAGGCTTCGGCGCTACGTACATTTATCCTTGAATCGTGGTATCCGATGCAGCATAGGACCGACTTGATGGCCGCGCTATTTTTGTCGCTATCCGTGGTGCTGCCGCTGATACCGGTACTGGTTCGGGGTGAATATCCGGCTCCATCTGTCAGAATCATGCGGAAGCATTATTGAAGGCATAAGGGCTACTCCCGACTCCCGAATATGATGATGGTGACGATGAAGATAACAACAACAATAACAATGCCGTTGATGTTGAAAAATAAGCCATCACCTAAAACGGATTCGCACACAATACCGCTTGTGTTACGCTACCGGCTCCTATCTCTGTTGAGCGTATCCTATGTTGTTTACTGCCGAGTCGGCTGTAAAGTACTGCTGCTACATCTGCGGCTCTTTGGCGGCACCGCTTCATTGTTGCTTGGTCGTCCGCTTACTTGTTGGTCCATGTGCATTGGTGCATGTGAGTATCCATCTTCGGGCGTTGAACAAGTCACCGCACCGAGCTCTGTCACTTCAGCACTCTCAACACTTGCATGGAGAGCGACCGAGCGAACAAGCGAAGGAATACATCACGAAGATCAGAAGGGCCTTCACCACAATCTCATCTGCTGGTGATGATAATCTCATTGAGGCGAGCAGCTTATTCCGCATTGTCCGCATCTTATTATGGATGCTGCTGTATCCGAGCTCCTGTTTGCCTTCCACTGAGAGCGAGCTTGTGACCGACCGGCTAGTCGAGTTCCACAATCCCTCCTTTCGTTGCCTGTCAAAGTGTTTTTATGAGACGAAATCTACCGACCTCAGAGCTTCTCTCCTTGAGGGTCGTCACCTCGGTGAGCGATCCTCGTGTCCAGCATTACTACTCACTCAGTCAGTGAGATGCAGTTATTAGGGTGTATATGTCATACTGGCTTCGAGAATCAATTAGCGATCGCTGATACAGCGTCCATGGAGGAAAAGACATTGAAGAAGGGTTCGAGAGTGCAACTCGCTTTTGAATGGAACTCTTCGATGACGAGTTCATGTTCTTTGCTCATAGACACAGCGAAGAGAGAGAGGACCAGCTTAACGCCCGTAAGAGAGAGCTCCATTTTTCAACGCTACAATTGTCTCGCGCCAGATGTTGCCTCTGATTTGGCCGTGTCTTCCCGTATGCGGACCCCTGTTTCTGGTTCGCTCGTTGGGCGTTTGTGTTAAGTAATTGTTTCATGCGAGATCCATTTATGTGAAGCGTTCTTAATGTCCGCTAAGAACTCTTGGCCGCTCGGACATTGCTATTTCATACCGCATGTCCAAGTATTTTCTTTAGCTGCAATTAGCCAAACAAGTCAGAGAAACCCCTCTCCGTGTTCGCGGAACTGCGCGTGCTGCCTCTGCCGTCTTGCTCGAGCAGAAAAAGAGGCATGGGAACTTCGAAAAATCATACCGGAGCTCATTAAAAACCCTTATTCTTCTGTAACTTTGCCAAGTGTTCGTAGAGTGAAGGTTATGTACCGTGGGAAGAAGGGTTATGCATTGGAGTCGAGGGCAGTTTGCTTCACCTTTCCTTAATTTTTCAGGAGACTGGTTCGATACGTCCCGGAGTGATCGGAGGCTCCAAGCCACGTGTCGCGACACCTGATGTAGAGAAACGCATTGAAGATTACAGAAAAGAAAATCCCGGTATTTTCTCGTGGGAAATTAGAGATCGACTCGTCAAAGAAGGCATTTGCGATCGGAACACGGCGCCCAGTGTCAGTTCAATCTCTCGTCTTCTCAGATCCAACAATCCACCATCCTTGAGCGGGATCGGTGGAATTTCGTCTCCTGGTTCCTATCCAAATGATAACTCGAGTCCACACGAAGACGAAAAATTCGATATGAGCTTAGCTCATGATCTCATGGGTCTCGGCATACAAACATCCCTCCAGATGCAGAATAAGCAGCACAAGCACACGATCGATGGAATACTCGCGGATTCAAGAAAAGACGAAGGTAAATACCGGTACGATGTACCTCCTTCTTTACGGCTCTCGGTTTTGAAATGTCGGTGTCCTTTTAATCGCCTGTCTTCTTGAGTAGTCGACTGGAAGTCGATGGCCGAAGCATACGCTCGCTCTGAATCAGCAATATAACAGTTGAAGAATCAGAAGCCGAACAAAGAACGGCCGGTGGCAGCATCGAATTGTTTCGCTTTCATGATTCTCGATTCATTTTTCCAATTCCGGCTAAACATTTGTCTCAAGGGCTGCGACCACTATTTCACATTCCTCTCGCTCTCGATGTTGCTTTATCATTCATCCCATGGATAGCTCAACAACATTGCTGGGAAAGTAGACGATCTGTATTTTTGACGCTGGCGGATAGCAAAAAATTTATTGTCCAGCGTCTAGCGGTTCATGGTAAAACGATAATTACTTCTTCTTCGCATTCGATATCGGCAACGTTGTAGACGCAGAATCCCTTGTCTGGCATAGAGAAAGAAGTTCTCACGGAGGGCTTCTCGTCATGCTCATCGGAGGAGAAAGTCGATGGAAGCGATGTCTCGAAAAAAGTCCGCTCCGCTTGCTTGACCGAATCATTTGCATTCGGATGCGTTGACAGTTCCCTTAATGCCGGAGTCTCACATTCGCGGATCGATTGGAGCGCCACCAATATCAAGGTGGAGCTAGTCAAAACTCTCTCCGTCAATGTCAGCCACCATGAAGTTTCCGATGAACCCCTGTTAGGAATTTCGGATATATAAGGTTCCGATGCACAGATGTGTATAAAATCGATGGAAAAGAGGTGGTATCGACACGGCGCCGGAGTTGGACTGGCCCCCTCTGATCGTGACTGGCTTTGTTTCCGCTCTCGTTGGAGAATAGCGGCGGACAAGCTGATTTCTCGACGGGGGATGCTTGTCTCGATACGGAATGTCTTTGTCTCTTCATCTTGCACAACTCGTGATACACGGAGCGCTCGGCGAACAAATCCCTCTGACGAGCGTATGCCTCTTGTCTCTGCAATCGAAATCTCGATCAATATCAAATATCAACTTCCGGGAAAATCTCGTTAGACTGAAAAGCAAATTATGAGCGTCAAAACTGGCGAATGGTTTCCATAATCGAGACTCGGACGTGTTTCTATGGAAACTCGATCTTTGTAGACTCCTTCATCTCATCGGCCATTTTCGACATCCATAACTTCGTTTATTTCATCGAGGTCTCACTGCGCTGACGAAGAGATCAGGGTAATCAACAGAAATCCTTCCGTCCATCGAATCTTATCCTATCCAAGGTCTGTCGTGATCCACGGTGAATTACGCGAATGAATGATTTGATTTTTCTGCGTCGAGCTCCGGAAGGCGTTCGTCTCAGCATACATGAGCGTCGGAAAGATATTCATTCATACCAGATATGTATCTGGATAATCCCGCTTGCGAGTCATCGTAGATTTTGCGTCGCGAAGTCGCGTCCACCGATAATCTCCCCAATACCAATGCAAAATAATGCTCTGGTAAAAGTGTGTCGGACAGCTCGGGCTCTTCGGGACTCCATAACATCGAAATGTGCCGAAGCGGCAGCATCAGAGAGTGGTCATGTCGTCGAGGTGGCTTCGCTCGTCTGAACGCGTGCCTTCCCCGCTTATTTTCCTGACGCGAGAATACTTCTTCTCGGATCCGTTATTTCAAAAGTGGCTGATCACATGGGTACAATTGCGGCCACGTACTTGTGAGACCCGGCAATGGAGAGAAAACTTCCGTGCTACACGCGTGCTCAGCTGACTGCTCGTCTATCCATCTCTTTGTCCGACGCGACGGTGAGACGTTCGACCGGTCGCTCAAACGGTAGCATGCTTCCCCAATTTCCTTTGAACGCCTCCTTCACAAGTGCCTTCATCACGAATGGTGGGTTGTCGACTTTTCAGTCGGGGCCGCTCAAACTCCGAAGACGCAGGAGAGATTTCAGCACGCTTCGAAGCTACAGCAGAAAGTGACCACTAACATTTGTTTTACGTCGCCTTCGGCGTTAGCAGTTTTTTGTGCGCAAGTTAGATGAGCTACATTTGAATGGGAATATGAGATCTGCTCTATCTATTCGTCACCTCCTCATTCGCGTTTTCGCAACGCTCGCGGCCCTCTCGACCCTGCGTATTCCCCTCATCGGTCAGTCAGCTCGAGACGATCAGTAAATGCTCCGATTATCATTGTTGTCCGACTGGTGCGAAGCCACAGATCGTCCGGCAAGAAAAGGGTTCCTGCAGGAGAGGGTATTGGAGTCGGTCCGTCGAGAGCATCGGGGATAATTCTCGATAGTATATGAAGCCGAGCTTTGTCTACTTTCAGATTATCCACCGCTCCGCTATCTTTTCTCCGTTTGATTCACTTATTATACATATATTCATTCATTTATCTATTCTACGTTTGCTTAGTTTATTGACGTGATTTAGTCTCTAAAGTGTCTCGAAAAGCCGGTCAGAGAAACTTCGTCCTTCATGCAGCGAAATCTTCCCCGCTTTTCCGGGGCTGGATTTTCGTTGATAGGCATCGATTTATCACGAGTATTGGGTGGAAAGATTGCGACATTTACGGGACATTGTCCCGGCTAATTTCCGCCCGGAACTGAACGATGGAGGAGGGTCTATTTGATGATTTCTGTGGATTTTCGAGAAGCTCTGTCAAACCGCATGACTGATCGTTTTCTAGAATGACGGGAGAACGTTCGGCTCACGCAAATGGACGGAAGTAAGATCTTGATGTAGTTCGATGAGGACGAGGGCTTTAATATACTGAAGACCCCTTGTCCGGGCAATCATTCAGTCCGTAGGGTGATCCCCCGCTTTGGTGGAGAAGACCGCGGCGGCTATGCAGGTTTCCCTGGGATCTATCTTCTGACCGCGGAAAAGTTTCCTGCACTGAGGTCAATCTTGAATCGAACAGGGCTCTGACTGACATGCTTCTAGCTCACGTGTGCTAAGCTCATCCCGTCCGTCCGGAATTCCCAACAGAGGTCTCGCCGTATTCGATCGATAAGGACGAAGTGTCCGATATGACTGCGGGCCGATTGTTCAGGCCTCACAGGAGCCACCCTGACGCGTTCACCAACCTGCGGCTCCGAGAGTTTGCGGGAAAAAAATTCTCTAGTCCACAACGAGCACGGTCGTCGACCGAGAGCTCTCGAATGAGGATATCGAGCACCTATAAGCGTGGTTCGATGATCATGGCCGCGGCTGTGTATTTCGAGAGCTGACCATACAGCCGACCGAACGCGAACCAACGAGCAAAACAAGGAGGAGCGCGCATTCCGATAGAACTCTCCTATATATTCCGCATTCCTTCCGTACATGGTTCTAATCATCCTCTCAATCGATGGACGTGGGAGTTTACATCACAGCGCTAGTCTCACGCAATGCACAACGAAGTGAGACGTTTCCACGCAAAACGGAAGTAGCCAGCTACTACCTTCCGTTTTTTATCATGCTATAGCTTACTTCCTGGTGTGCTGAGGGACGCATGTATTCTCATCGAATCGGCATTCATCCATGGGATTTGTGTTCCACGGGGCAGCGCTCACAGCTCCTGCTTGCACGAACGTCATCCGATCGGCTCGCGCTACCGTGCTGCACGTGAGTGTATCGTCTCCGTAATTTTCCGCTAAGGAACCGCACTGCTTGGTGAGGAGGTTACCGCAGGGCAAGCCGTGACTGGATTGAAACGGCATAACAGAGCTTCCCGTCCCGGGAGGACGCACTCCGGCGCGGAGTAACAACACTTCTTGGCCGGTTTCTCACTCCGCAGTTATAGTTGTTTTACAACGTCACAACTATATGAGTCTTAGTCATCGATAGCTTTGAACTGGCTCAATACGCTCATCGATCCAACGTTTGCCGTTGTTTTGTCATTCTTCCCGCTCATCGTCATGGGCTCTCGAGACTCGTCCCGACAGGTCCGATGAACCACGGTATGCCGAGGGAAGGTCCGCCGTGTATGGTGCAAATGGCGCCTCGATCGCAAAAAGATACATTTGACGGCCGAAAGACAGCTTGGCTCGGGGAAGCCTGGAACCCTTGAGATATAGCATTCTGAAGAAACATGCGAATCTGTCCCGTGCCTTCTGGGTCAATCGGTCGATCCGACAGGAGGAGTCGGTGCCCGAGCGGTAGGAGGCGCATCCATGGAGGTGCTTACCTCTTCAAAGGCGGAATATTTGCGTCTCTTCCGCTCGCGACAGTGAAGCTCTGGAGCAGTAGATGTTCCGCGTGTTCGGAACCATTAGCGCGGAAGAAACTTCCCGGCGGGGCATGATCTCGTCCCCTGACCAGTATTCCCACCGTGTAGCTCTCGCGCGGCGTCTCAAGACTGAAACCGGTCGAAAGCGCTCCATCCGGCCTCCTTCCGTGATAACGAGATTTGTGGTGCTGCGTCAGACGACCATGCACACGAGAGTGGTCTTACGAAGCTCCGAAAAGATTGCATATTCTTCGGAAGAGAAAGAGAAATCGATCGGGATCGGGAGTTCTTAGCATACTAGGCGCACGGCTCTAACAACATATTGTCCGTATAAGTATCTGAGATATCGGCCGAAGGCCGTGCAAAGCTCCGTTATTCACCACAGGAGGATAAGGATGTGGGATACGGATGGATAGGGCCGCCTTCTTGGAACCTTAGCCTCCAAAATCAAGCGCGTAGACACGTTTTTCTTGGAAAGAGGGCGGGGGCGAGGCTTTCCCTAATGACGCGTCTTCTCAGAGCCTGTACTGTCTCATCACGACGACAAATCTTGCCCCTGTAAGTGGGCTCCCGCCCTGAATACAGTCCAGCTTTCTCCAAAGAGAACGCCCCGTCTCCCCGGTTGCTTGGGGTTGGAGCCTCACCGCAACCCTGCCACAATATCCCCGCTCGAAGCAAATGAAGTTCGCAGGGGGAACTTCCATCGCGCCTGGAAACCTCTGCCTCGGTAACGACGCTCGCTGTTGAGTCTAGAGTCTCGCGCCCTCCCATAGGCCGGCTGAAGTTGCACGGGCAGCCAGTAGAGGAGATCCAGAGCAGTTCTCCTCCCTTCAGATTAATTTTGTCGGGAAGTTCAGCTCACGCATTCTATTGATCTACTCGGTCTGACTGCCTCATGAAGGATCGTACTGCGACAACAGACCTAGGGAAAATCGGAGGGTCGTTTCATACGAGGAAGGAACTCGCGCTCATTCGGTAGAATGATGGCCTCAGAGTCGCTAGCGGGCTGGCTGACTGACTGGCTGGCTGGGTGGCTGCATGGTCATCTGTCTGACACAAAAGCTCTGTACGTGCTACGGCCATCGTCCGCAGAATTGATTCCGACGCTCGAGGACCACACACAGAAGAAGCCGATCAAGCTCTAGCAGACAAGCAAACAGGCTGACTGCTGACCGAATAGAGGCCTTCTCATCTGATTCCGCAAGCTGCTCAGAGCCTGATAGTCTGACTAGGTTGCAAGTCTTTCCGTTCATTACAAGAGAGCATCCTCCCCTTATCGATGAGAACTTAGAATCCGGAGGAGCGGACTTGGGAGAACACTCCGTCTCGATTCTTCGAGCCACAGTCTATTTGTCACCCTCTGGGTCGCAGCGATGCGAGGGCTCCGTTTCGTTCGAAACATGAAGATCTCGATGTGAATCCCGAGATATTCATTCATTCATCCAAGTCCACTTTCTTCGCGTGAAGGATTTGGGAACGGCTCATAATAGTTCGAAAATATCACTTCGTCGTAGTGAGTACGAGCATTATCCAATGTTCATGGGGGTATGACATTTGGACACAAGTCTCCGCTTGAATCTGTCGTGGACTGCTCGGAGGTGCGCTTGGAGTATATCGCAACAGATAATCTTTCGGGACCATCTCTGCTCTGAGTTCGCAGTCGGAATCTCAAGTTGACCTCGGTCTGGTTTTCGGCCTGCTTTGCAGGCGGTGCTGGAGAAACCCAAATGTCTCATCACCTTGAGCCTCGAGGATGTATTACGACGGGAGCCTCGCACTTCTGCCCGCGAGCCTTGTCTTGAATTAATCCCTGTTACATTATGTGCTGAGCTTCGCACGACATATGCACATGTGTTTCTCCGGAGCATTCACCTTTGGGAGGATTACAGAATCGTCATCAATTCGCGAGCCTCCATCTCGCCTTGCGCTGTCGGTTAGTCGACAGTAGATAAGTACTCGTCGATGAATTTTCTCTCGTCTATCCTTTCCTTGCTTCGCTCTTCCACCCGTCTATCTGTCCGGCTGTCGGTGTAACTGCCTGACCGAACGACCACCGGTCAGGTGGTCGGTTGTTCCATTGAATTCCATCTGATAGAAGAAGGAGCAAACTATAGAAGCAAAGCGAAACCGATTCTGAAGATGGACCGCCCTTCGACCGGTCGCTGTTCCTACTGCCCTTGCTGCCGCCGACGCTGGCAACTACGACGACTACGATGATGTCGATGAAGGCGGGATCACCATAGGAAACCGACGGCCGGCGGCCGCCGTCGTCGTTGTTGTTCTCGGTGTTGCTGGCAGAGCCAACAAGAGAAGGCATGCCTCCTTTTCAGTAGTCAAGAGCCGCGCTTTGATGCTGCCGTCACTCTGTCTCTGTGTTCTTTCCGTCCAAACATTCGACCATTCAGCCACTCAGTCAGCCGGCCTGCCGACCGTCCAACTGGCTAAGCAAGCAGGCGAGCGAGCGACCGACAAACCAACCATTCATTCGACTACACATCTGAACCGCCATTCGTTCGTGGATCTATTCCAAGTGTTCAACAAAAAATCTTTGTTTATTTTCCACGCTTTCTTTTGTTGGCACTCAGACAGCGGCGACACTATCGCGTGCCTGAATTTGATCATCAACGTCGCTGATTTTGCGGAGTCATTCGTCATGTCGTCTCCTTTCGCAAGCTTGCCGGGCTCGGTGGGTGATTTTCAGCAACAGAATAGAACTCGACGAAGAGAAGTGATATTGGTCCACGACCTGACGGAACGACAGACTCATTTCCAAGTCTGGAATTTCGCGAATCGCACTAGGGAAGACCGACGAATGAGCGGCGGGGACAGTGCGCAACACGCGAGTGTACACGCCGATCTGTGAGAGCAAAACCATCCTCCAAGCCCCTCCGTCACCACTCGCATTAATAAAGGGACTGACCAGAATACTACCTAGCTACTATTCGCATTGGTCAGCGCATCAACCCCTTGAAAGGAAACGGTCTTCCATGAGCCGATCGCGAAAGTAGAAGAAAATCGAAATCGTCGCCAACTAAGCATTGCTAACGGGCATGCTCTTTCTTGTATTCGACACTGATCTTCACTCCCTTTGCGTGCGTTCTCGGAACGGCTCGAACATAGAACGGCTTTAAGTTCACGTCAGAATGAAGGCGACGTCGAGGGGGAGGAGGAGGAGTTGGCGGCGGACAGCGACGACGACTTCGAGAAGAAAGAAGATGACGCAGAGGAAGTATGTAGTCGAGGTGTGTAGCGTTTAACGTATTTCGAATCAGCGCCCAGATCAAAGAGGCGAAGCCGCCTCTGCCTCAAACGCAGCGGTCTCAGAAACATCCCGAGTCTAAGCTGGCAGTCAGGCAAGTAGTCAGTCAACCAGTCAGTTAGTTCGCCAGCGAAGGCGAAGAAGACTCGCCGACCGAATTTTCTACTCAGTGGACCGATTGACCGACTGACTGACTCGAAGACAAGGCCAAGAAACAAATTGATCGGATTAACAGGCAGATATGTAGCTATGAATCCGTCCACGAGATCCTCGTAGCTTTCAGGGCCTGTGTGACGGATCGAGCGAATCGACTCATTGGAGAGCGATGAACCTTCGCAGCATGTATTGAGTCGTTTTGTCTGTATTCCATGCCTCTCTGGAATGAGCGCGAGCCATTGTTCATTTCGGTCATGGTGAAAGTTGATCGTGAGGGTCGCTTTTTTTCGCTGTTGAAGTGAACCCGAAGCGAACATTCGACTCGCTCGCTCGCCCACCATGACCGCTGGCGGACTGAGTGTCAGCCAGTCAGACGCGCCGCCAGCAGCCCGCAATGACCGTGCTGTTTGTTTCGCCGTTTTGCGAAGTGGTGTCTGTATTAATTTAGCCGGCGGTTGCCCGCTCGCTTCGGCGGCACTTGAGTGTTCGCTCACTTGGTCGCCTCTTTGGTTGTCGTCGTTGTCGACGTCCTCCTGGGTGGCATCATCATCATGAGCAGCAACATCCTCATCATCAGCGTCGTCGTCATCATCATCATCTTCAGAACCTAGATGATGTTCTTCCTCTGTGCGAGCGGTGCGGGTTATGTGATACCTAATTAATCATTCGAGTTATCCACTCCAACACTGGGAACACAGGCTTTAATTGCTCGCGCGCTCCTCTTCTGACGCCTCTACCCTCCGCATTCGCCCGAGTCGCTGCCCGACTCGACCCTTGCAGCTCAACTCATTGATTCAAGACTGGCTGCTATTTGGTCGCGAAGTTCGGTATACTGAATTGAGCCGTAACCCAATCGAGAGGTTGTTGCGCGCTCCCCTGAATGTGACTTCACGACGGGGTATCGGAAAAGAGAGAAATCATTCTGCTCGCGGATAACTCGCTTGAATGATGATACGAGCGGTGAACCCTCGGAAATCCAACTCCATCCGCGAAAGGGTGCATCCCATTCCAGAGCAGACGTTCATGCGAGACTCGATCGCTGGTGTCTGAATCAGGTGCATTGTTAGAGTCCTAAACGGATATTCGCCTGGAGAGCCATTCGCGATGAAAAGGAAATGCCTCCTCGCAGTGATGAGGGAGGCGAAAAGATGATTAGCCATTGATGTCGAGGCCGAAAACGGGGGTGAGGGTGTGGGTGTTAACTGATTCACGGCTCTTATTTGTCCGCTCGCTCCGAATACGTCTCATCTCTACGACTTTAGCAGAGCATCCGAATCAGCGATTAGTGGGCAGCATTTGTGGAGGTTCGCATGCCAGTGCGGTGGACCTCCGAATGTAGACATTTAACAAGCCAGACACGTAGAGCAGGGCTTCCAAACATTCCGCGCTTCGAAGAACGCCACAAGATTTCCACGGAGCCCTTGGACAAGGCTTCGCGCTACATTCCTCCATATTTGCTCCTCTAGTACCGCGAGACCTCAGACTGTCATCGCTTTCGGAGCACTGGGTGCATTAGAGCACAGCGAGTTCATCTGATTGGGCGAAAAAATTGGAAGTCAAGAAAGCCCGAGTGGAGGCTCCTGGCACCCTTGGCTTCTGAGGAACCCGGGTCGAGAACCTTTCGACCTAGAGAACCTCTGGAATAATTCTCGATAGAAGAACGACCAACACGCAGACAAGCACAACTACCAGTAAATTTTGTGAGTAGCGGCGCCTGTCGGGCAAAGAGGCGCGTAGAACGAACAACGGAAGGAGCCCCGCAGCAAATCCCTCCTCCTCCTCCTCCTACACGATTAAAGTGCCGAGTCACGCCTAGTTTTTGCTTGCTCGGAACTTGGTTTCGCTCCGTTGTTCCGTCAGAAGCAAGCTCACAATTATTGCTCACACCCTCCTGCAAAGCGGCACAAACATTGCCCCAATCGTCTGGGATGATGAAGCTCACCCGCAAGCTGGCGGGCGACTCAAATAGCTACATAAGTCTTTCTACTGAAACTATTATCAGAACACGATTCGGAGGTCAAAGGTGTGTCGAAGACGCTAAGTCATGTGAAGCGAAATCATGCAGAGGCACTGTTTAAATAATCCTTTCTTCAACTTACAGTACCCGGAAGGGAAATGGAGATCGATGAGAACTCGGTATCATCGGACGGCGGCGGAGATGGGGAAGTCGGAATAACATTGAAGAGAAAACAAAGGCGGTCTCGAACGACCTTCACAGCTCAGCAATTAGACGAATTGGAAAAAGCCTTCGAGCGGACACAGTATCCGGATGTTTACACACGAGAAGAGCTCGGACAGAGAACGCGCTTAACAGAGGCCAGAGTACAGGTGAGTTTAAGGGGATTCTCGCTCGTTCGAGATTCCCATCTGAATATTATTGTCGAAGCATATATCACAGCGTTCCCTGATGATCCAAGCACCCGACCGTCGTCCCTCGGCGCGAGCTCGTATGGAACGAAGCGGTCGAGTTCCTCTCAAAGTGTAGACTCGTTCCCCGAACCTTAATCTGGTATCCAGTCGATTCCTCGATAAGCAACACTCGAGTGGGCTTTGCAACCGCGATTATCAACCCCGATTGCGGTTTCTCTTCAGTATGAGACCCTAGGGAGAAAGCGAATGAAGGAAGCCAATGAGCGCGGCTTTTCATTGAACATGTGGTTTTTCGCGAAGCATACACGCAGGTTATTCGCCGAGGATGATAGAATGGTTTATATCAGGGACTGGGAAGCCGGAACTTCCCTCCTAATGGTCGGAGTCAGCAATTTCCTCTGAAATTCTGAAAACCGGAACGCAGAAAACTCCGAGGAGCAGACAAAACGTAGAAGACGAACACGTCCTCGGTAATCGCAACTCGACTCATGAGCCTCGGCTGTTCGGACTGATTTCTAGAGCTCCTATAAATGCCGGATTGAGCAGAAAATCCCGAGAGCGTCCTACCCAGTCACTTCTTCGGAGCGTGTCTTCGTAAATTCAGCTAGGTGATGCATCCATCATCCTTTTTGAAGGGGATTCATCGATTTCTTGTCGCGGTAGAATCTAACTCTTCCTCCGCCTTCCGGGGAAAGCCGGCCCCGGTAGCCTGGTCTGGGCTTTGTCGGAAAATACGCGAAGCAGTCGTCCGTGACAAAGTTAGCGGAACGTTTATCCGTTCCCACGTCCCCCTCGCGATGGCGAGCATTCGAGGAGAATCGCCGGGAAAGACTTTGATACATTAGATTTGAATACTTGGATTTGATCGTCCAGTGGAGAGCTTCCGGGTTGACTTTTTGCTTTCGAAAATTGGTGATGCTCGAAGCAGCTCTTCACCGGGCGTGCGCGGAATCCAGAAGTGTCCCGTCGAGGATGATTTTTCGAATTAATGAATCAAAAAAGAGTGAAAGGTGCATTCTCTTCGTCACGCTCTGTGAAGTTGTGAGCGATAAGTTTCTCACTCGGGCTCAGTGGGATGTGCTATAGGAGCACTCACTCAGCTGTAATTTAATAATGGTCCAAAGATTCCTAATTGCTCTGAAATGACCTCTCACTTAATACCGAAATAGCGCAACGGGAAGATGAAGGGGCATTCTACAGAAAAAGTCGAGGAGGCGATTAAGTCTACGCGCCGACCATCGGAGCGGACAAGGGAGCACTTGGTACGTCCCGGTAGGAGAGACTCGGTACGCGACCATGACCTGTCTTTGGCTATCCGACGACACCGTTGTCCCTGGAACTCAGTATTGGCCTGGTATCATCGCCTGGATGTATTCGAGCTCCAGCGGATCCCGGCTGCGTTGACTCCACGAAACAGGGGAGGAGACGCGAACCGAATCTAAATGCTAGCAAGAAAAACGTCAATAAAGAGTGCTTCCCATCGGATGATGAAAAAGCATTCCCACTTCCAGTGCTTCACAATTTTCCGTCACGAAGTGCGGAAGTACTGAGTTCTGAAAATTCGGGAAGCGAAAAATCTTCGAAATGCCAGGTATTTGCCTCTGACTGAGAAGGCACATCATCATGATGCCCGAGCGCGACCCTGCGTCGTGGAGAGTTTTCTTTCTCTTCACACATGGCAACAGTGCCTGGGAGACGTCTCTGGTCTTAGTTAGTGAACCTGTCGGTAGCAGCGTATCCCCATCGGGGCCGTATAGGGCTTCAGTCTCCTCCTCCCAGGAGTTCTGTTCGTAATGCTGAAGAATGGGAGCGCCCGTAGAAGATCCCAGCCCCGTGGAACAGGTACCTTCACTTCTAGGTTCCTCAATGCTCACCTCGAGGTAGACGCATCATCATGGTTCACGATGAAGCGTTTCTACGCACAAAGACGAAGAAGTGTACGAGCTGACAGTCAAAGAGAAGGGCTCGAAAGCGAGGTGACATGTCGGAAATAGCGGCAGGACACGACTCACGAAGCGGCAGCGACGCGTAAAATTCTCCGAGGAGTGGAGTAGGTTTCGAGACTCTCGCGACTCTACAGGGACTCTCTCGCAATGTCCAATGAGGTGCGACCGTCCACTAAGAGGCAAACCACTGTTCTAGTCCGCGGAGGTCAGCTTCTCTGTACATTGGAATCAGATAGAAGCGGGAGCACTAAGATCATGAGGACAGAAGACCCATCTTGATCAGCACGCTCTGGTCGAAGTATATATACATAAAAAAAATTATTGTCGGGAAATCCGTCTTCTTCTTCTCAAAGCTTCATCTGCGAGAATCCCGGTCTAGAGGAATGATTGGGACATGCCCAAGAACTTCCGGACCAGAGGCTTAATGGTGCCGTGCATCGATCTTCCCCCGTATGCCGCGCTGGCGTAGTCCAAGCCACCGCCTGAGCGCGGTATATCCTTGATCACTGGCATTTTCGAATCCTGTCTCGTCCATCCGAGCGACGAGCGTACCCGGCCTCGATCTCTCGCCTGCGTGCAATTCCGATAATGGCTGAAAATAAGCTATCACCGATGCCGAGGTCGGATCTGAAAATCTTGCGCTCCACTCAGTCTGTCGGCGGGGAGTATTCGGGTCAGAACGATGAAATTCTACAAACTCAATCATCAATGATCATGAATCTGTTTGCGTTCTGATGTATGGCCACCGCGCCTCCGTCATCGCTATATAACGCGCGAGGAACAGAAGAAAATGATCCATGTAGCGCAGTATCTGACTCAAATTACGGCAGTATAGACGTTGTCTGGGATTATCATCAGGATCTCGATCGAAGAGAGAAAGCTGTGAGCTGCGGTGGCATTTACTCTCGCCTCTCCACGATCATCATTTTAGATACCTTGGCCACCCGGCATCCTTCTCCGTCGGCGAGCTACATCGGCTCTACTAAGCTTGCTTCAGCTCACTTCGACGACCTGGCAGAGTGACGTTTCATGTCACGATGATCTGAGGGAGGAACCGCCTTAGCGAGGTGCCAAACAGTGAGACCTCCCGTCCGGTCGTTTCTCTTATTGACGGGTGGATGAGCGGACGAGCGGACACTTCGACAACGCAAATTGGAACTAAACACTGGGTGGTGTGAGCACCCTCGTCAAAGACGCGGCTCGACGCCTACCAGAGAGCGGGATGCAGTCCAGCAGTCAGTATGTCAGAGGGTTCCTCCGTTCGAGCGTCAGTCTACCCATCTGTTTGTCCATGAACTGCGTACGCCATTCTTGTCAACCCTCATCAGCTACCTATCCCTCAGAAAGCGGCGGGCTGATCACTTGACACGAGTCGAACTCGACAACTCGGAGGACCAATGATCTAACTCTTCTACCCGCTCCGTGATTCCCCTTTAAAGCCGCGGGCAAAAAAAAAACAAATCAATGGTCGAGGGAGCGAGTAACAAAAAAGTCGACGGCAAAGACGAGGAGTTAGGAAATTCTGGCGCGTGCCATCGTAAATGTTCGAAAAAGTCGATGAGTTTTCGGAATGATTTGAATACGTGGTTCCCGGGGAGCTCACTGCGTGTGACGAATTCGCTCTTTGTGACGCATAGCTCTATCCCTCAAATTGTCGTCATGGAACTTAGCATGCCGCCATTCGATCAATTCCGACGCACCTATTCTGCGAAAGCCGACGGATGGAAAAATCTCGAGTGGTTCCTCGGATAATTCTGCTGAACGAAGTCGCCTGCTTCCTTAGGACCGCGAGAGAACGATCGAGGTGTATTGCTCTGGCTGATGGGCTCTTCCGATAGTCTCGGCTAGATATCTGGCCTGATTCCGAGCTATTATAGGCACAGGATCGGTGATGGGAATGTTTGCGTAGGTCACGCGCTCGACCTAGCCTCGGGGAATTTGAGCACCCAATCTCATGAGTCTGTAATGAAGGAGGCATCCAGAGAGGTAGCAAAGCGTTTGAGGCGCTCGAGCGACGGTTGAGCCACGGTCGTTGCCTCGGACCAATTGAAACTCTCGACTTACGAAAGTTATTCAAGAGACCATCCGTCTTAATTATCCTCTAAAGACTCGCTAGCAGCGCTCTTGAGCGATCAGGTAGCTCTTTTCTTAATGCAAACTAATTCGTGCTAATTCCATCATCCACTGGGCCTTCGGTTTTGATTTGGCTCGGCGCTCCACGACTACGTTTCCATTCAGTTCGGCTCTCGATCATCGACTCCGGGAGCCCCAAGGGACGTAACAGGCGGGTCTATTCTGACGATACTTGCCCCGGATTCGAATCAAGGATGGGGGAATCATGTCGGCAGGTACAGCGGCGCTCGGGCCTTTTACGACTCATCCCACTCGATCAACTTCCGGGTCAGTCCCAATCGATTCCGCTCTCTTACTCAGAGATCGGGCATGGCGATGGGACACCAGATCGGTGGACCTGGGATGTGAAGTACTTTCTACGAGCATCATGGAATAGGCGACTATGCGGAGCTCAAGCCGAGGCTCTGCAAGTCTTGGAATTGGATCCGCGGTAAACACCCTCAAGCTTTGCGGGAATTTCACATGCATGTTCCTCTTTCTACAGGTGTGGTTCAGCAATCGACGAGCGAGGTGGCGGAAGCAAATGGGAGGACATCAGCAACCGCATCAAGCTCAGCACATGGGTGGATTCTCGGCGTTGGGTCTACCGTCGGCTTCGGCGACGACTTCTCCCTATGTTTCAGCAGGATCTGCGGTGACTACGGTCGGAAGCTCCTCCAGTTCATCGGTGGCAGCAGCAGTAGCAGCTGCCACCGTTGCGTACGGAGGTCTGCTGAACGAAGGGGGCAATTCTCCTCCTAGCAGCTATGTGTCGCACATACCGTCCCAACAACCGCAGCAATCTTCGAACACAGCGCCGAACAGCGCCAGTAACGCACATGGTAAGCTATCGTCTCTTCACGGGATGCAGCTCCCCGACGCGTTTTTTTTCGTAGATTCCGTGCGAAAGGCGCGTATCTCAATTCGGGCGAGACGGACGAAAGAATTTCTTCGGTTCCATATTCGTCTCTTCTCCGAATAGGTCCAGAAGCCGCTGGAATCGATCATCAACGAGCAGCTTTACCCCAGCAAGATGAATCAGAAGCACATGCTGTCTCGCTGCAACATCAGGGTCAAGAAAGTGCTTACTCGTCTACGGTCCTTTCCATGATGCACAACCCAATGGAATATCACGGAGCGGCTGGACATGGGAGCACTTCTCTGATTGACGAAACAAATCCTTGGAATCATCGCAACCCTTGGTCTCAGCCGTCTCAGCAACCGAACGCGCCGCAAATGGCGAGTCACCATCATCATGGCCTAGCACACGGTGTCTCTGCCGTCGCTGCTGCCGCTGCCGTCGCTAATACAGCCGCCGGCGCTTCTCAACCTTCGACTGCTTTCAATGAGGGTTTCTCAACTTCGAACGGATACTTCTCTCCAGAGCTATACTATCCTGGTCAATTTGGGGGTGGCGCTGGACTTAGAGGTCTCACACTGTGAAATCGACTGACAGAATCTGACGTTGAGATTTTCGTAACTAATCCGCAAAACATTGTCCATGCTATTGGCGGGTCAGGTGGAGGGGGCATCTGATCCCGGAACAGCGGGTCGTGAATGGCGATGAGAATGAGATTGATTGGGTTGACTGGAGAACCCGTCCGAGGAAGCGCTTCTGTCCCATTCTCTTGCACAGCCCAATACGTAGACATACCTGCAGGACGATTTCGAGCAATCGACACGCGAAGAATCCGGTCTCTCGAGGGGTTTCTAGAATCTGAAGATTTACATTCAGAGTAGGTAGCTCACACGGGTCGGAGCAGAGCCGTTCCTCGGACGCGTTCGAAAGCAAAGCTCGATCCTCAATCCGAGGTAAAGCTATCCGAAGAGGCTGAAGATGGCCTCAGTCTCGGTCTACCGATGAAGACCACAGAGAATAATAGCCCGTGCACGCATACGATAGACCAGCGGCGATTCTGACATTGAATTTAATAAATGATATACGCGCAGACGCCCGATACTGCAAGCCGTTGGTCGTAATCATGCCTTACCTATAATGAACCCTAACCACAAGCATAGCTAGTGAGTGCCCCGCCGTCGAAGCTATGCGATAGGGGAACCACGTACCGTGTACGTATATAGCTTGCATTCTTGATGGGATTCGAAATCTCGTCTCTGTCTGTTCGTCGATTCGGGCGTCATCATCGGGATTCCGGAGCCGAGGCTCTCGCACTAAGGAATGAGTGTCGATGTCTGCACAGAGTGGCTGACTGAGACTCATTCCGAACTGGATCCGATGTGACCAGACAAGCCAGTGCAGAGAACCGAGAAACCCCACAGCTACCGGTGCGCCTCAATCGACTGCGGTCAACGCAAATGAATGGAGTAAAATATTGTACTTGTCTGAGTCAGCCTTCGATTGTGCTCTCTTGCGAAAGAGATCACATGTCGTCTGCCCACGTCGAACGACCTCCCCTCCAGACTGATCGATATGCCAATGCGAATGGAGGATTCCCCGCCGTAAGAGTTGATCGATCGCTGACGGTCATGCGGAACGCTAATTCATCCACAGCTGCTGAGCATTGGTTCGCGACAAAGAATGCTTGCGAAGTTTTCCCTCGAATCAAAACTTCTTCCTGTGCCATCTCGCATCTTGAGTATCTTATCAGCGTGTATCAAAAGCCTTGTGGGAGAAGATTTTATAAGGAATGGTGGCAGGAAAATTGCATGGGGGTCGAATGGAGAAGAAAGTTGGGGAACTCCTGTTCCAGAGCCTCGGGACCAGAGGGTACAGCTTTCAGCCGTCAATGGCTCCCAAGGATTAGGGGCAGAAGGCCTGACACTGATAGCGGAGATATTCCGGCGCCTCTACCGAATCAGGACACTATCGATCACAGCTACCCTTGCGCGTCAGAGTCAACCGGGATGGGAAGTCTAAGGATGCAGGTTCAACAAAAAATTATTTTTACTGCCGGATCAACGAATAAGCCCGCAGACCCAACGAGAACATTGATGCACATGATGATCACATAGCTATTATTTCTTTTTCATCCTGAGTACATCGCCAGGAGATGGGTAGGGACGCTGCTGGAACAGCGGTCCAGACGCTGTAGAGTCGACGGCTTTACCCCCTTCACGATCGAGGCCGTCCGCCCAGCCCCCGCGCGGGCATGTGTCTGAATAGGCAGCAGGGTCCATGGGATCTAGAGCTCCATTGTCCCTGCGATTTCTCCTCCGATCAGAAGCTCTGCTCATTTGCTGCGACGATTGTTGCCTGGAGTACAAGCAGAATTATTCCATCCTGCCCGAGGCGCAGATGAATATATACGCCAGGTATCTGCCATGAAGCTTGGACGACTTGAAAAAATTCTTCCATACCGCGGAGCTTTCTTCTGGAGGCTCGAAGTATCATCTTCCTTCCCATCATCGTCAGAGTTTTCCGAGTCGTCTTCTTCATCGTTCTCAAAATCCTCGTCGTGATCCTCTGGAAGGGGGAAAATTTGTCTGGATGACCCTCCTCCGAGTACGATATTACTGCTTCCAAACGGTCTGTGTGCTGCCGCATCTATGCTGGCGCCTGTGTCGGTCAGAAAACAGATTGGACGTACCTTCGATCGCCATGATCTCTTGGAATCTCGGTACAGGGAGCGTCACTTGAGACCGAGGGTGAGTGGGACTCAGCCAGCAAACCTGAAAACATTGCCAGAGCACAAAGCAGAAATTAACGGTGGATAAGCCTTTCGATGGCCGACGGAGAGCGCGACCATTTTTCTTTCTTTCGCGAAGCACAACGATGCTTACAACCTTACACTTACCTGCTTGCCATCCCGATGCCAATAGTAATATCTGCCAGTTCCAGCATCGTATTCTTCCGTCCAATCAGGAGGGAGGGGATATCTCTTCAACATTCGCAAACGTCTCCGCGTTAGAGTTTTCTTCTCCTTCAAGATACCTGCGATATTGAAAATCTTCCTTCAAAATTTTCTTATTTCTCTCATCCGTCCGCAACGACCGCCACGTTCTTCGAAATTCATACAGATAGGCGACGCTATTCCCTAGCCTCGGCTACGATTCGCAGGGTTATCACTAGAGCTCGGAAGTTCAGGCACTCAAAAATCTCCGAAATGGCAGGTGGGGAGGCACTGAAAAGCCTCGAAAAAGACACCGAAACTAGGCAAAATAGGCGTCATAGGCAGGAAAACAAACGCATCGAAGCGTCCATCAGTGTCGTATTGTGAGAATTTCATGTGGTAAAAAGGATTCCCATCGGTGAGTAATCGACGCCGATCTGATACGAGCTTTTTACACCGACGATTTTTTTGCGCGCTCTGGCGGAGCATCGGAACTTGTCGAAAGCAAGATGTGCTCCTGGAAACTAGGTTCGCCGACCTCATCTCATCACCATTCTAAATAAGAAACCCTCAGTTCCCCCCGAAATCCTAATCGGAATTCGGCTCGAAAAGGCACTCTAGACACGAAAAAAATGAAACGGGCATTTTACACCAAAAAATGCCGAAAAAAGCAAATATAGGCATTCAAGGCATTATGCCTGAACTTCCGAGCTCTAGTCATCACATATACCGTGAACATTCTGATAGACGGGCACGCCCGTTTACTTTTCGATCCTCTTGAAGGTCCCCGTCTTTTAGAGACTGCCCGTCTATTTTCTGGATCCCCCAGAAGATGCCCATTTATCAGGGACTGCCCAAGTATTGGAGACTGCCCGTCTATTTCTCGTATACACCGGGATATGCCCGTCTTTTGGAGAGTGCCCGTCTATCAGAATATATACGGTATTCATAATACTCACCTGCGCCCCATCTCTTGTGGCACCATTGTGTGCATTTATGGTGCACGTTCCACTTGTTTGGACAACCGGCAGCTGGACCTGAACTGACTTTCTGATCGACCCCTCTGTCGATGGGTAATTGTGGACCAATCTCTCCATTCTCGTCTTGCCTCGGCTGACTGTCGTAGTTTTCCGCGAAAACCTAAAGAATAGAGGTTTAGCCATCGGCCGCCCCCGGAATTTTGTGAGTGATTCTCATTAGAATCGCTATCTCGCACATCAGGAAGATAGCTTCAATTCCCTACCTCTTCGTGCTCAGAAGCAGCCTCATCCTGTTTTCGATTATCATTTTCACCGACTCTGCCGCCAGGTATTAGGCCGCGGCGCTTTAAACGAGCCAAGAGTGCAGCGGGCAGGGGCATTTCCGACGGATGGCAGTAGAGGCGACCAGTCAATGTCAGAATCCAGGTATTCCACTGCTATCGAGGTCTCGGAGCTCGCGGCTCGAGCTCATCTATTCTGAAGGAGTCGCTCGAAACGGACGAGGAGAAGAGTCTGGTTCGATGTTATTGTTTACGATAGGTTCCTCTCTCCTGGGTAGCAGCCGCTTCGGAGCTCTTAGCGCGGGAGATTCGAGCGTCGCTCGTGAAGATATGTGTAGTGCGGAGCCGGAGAGGTATAATTTTAATCAGCAAAGCAAAGCTCCCGTGAATGGGACTGCGAGTCTACACTCAAAGCCCAGCCCGAGACTCATATCAGCCGGGCATCCTGATGAGAGCAGAAAACTCACGCCTTAAGAGCCTGGAACGGTATTGCTTACCGCAACCGGATTTCCCCGATTCTGCGAGTTCCGGGAGCCGATCATTGACATGGGGGAAAAAGTTTGGACACTTGTTCCGGGAAAACAGTCCTCGAGAAGATAAGCGTTCTCGGGACACTTCAGCGTGGCGATCACACCCGTACGGCGCGGCGGCTCTTACGAACAATCGATTCCCACGGACCCTCCGAGGTCGGAGGAAGGCACTTTCCTTCGTAGACATGGGGGTCTCCGAAGACGAAACCGGTCTCCGTGGAGTTCTAGACGATTTTTACCTCACTTCCCCCGACGCGTAACCGATGCACCACATCAACGAGTCGTTGATCAACGAATTTTTCGGGGAAGGAAGGTAGGTGGTTCCCAGCTTGGAATCTCCGGGGGAATATCCCGGCCGGATGCAGTCGAAGGAGCATTATCCGCTGTTCCGGTTATAGCAGAATATTTGAGTGCAAGCAGGCTGTGACTCGTGACCGACATCGTCGCTTCGAAGCGGCCCCGAGCTGCGACGGGGAGATAGGGTGATCACGTCCTGACGGAACGTGTGGCGCCACCTGCCGTTAGCTGTCAAAGTTTTCTGCGGCTCGTCTTGGCGTTCTTCGGTGGTCTGTGAGTGACTGTATGCTTCATTGGGAATAGCTGTCCCGTAATCCATGTCCGCCACTTCCCGAGCCCTTCGACTGGCCCCAGCGAAAATGGTCACGAAACTCATCGCATTGAGTCTCTAAATTTGCTTTGAGCTCGCCGACTACACGGTATGACGGGTCTCCAGCCTCCTCTGCTGCCGCCAGTATGTGTGTACCTTCTGGCTACGACTGGAGCTGCTTACTGAAAACGGAACAGCTCTGATTCTCTGAGCTTTTCGGATAATCCGGTGAACACCCTCCGATGGCAAACTGAACATCGCTTCCACGCGAGATCCTCATCCCGCCATGAGCCACCAATGTCCACAGAGGTTAGTCACAGTCTACATAGCCTCGGTTCTTGCGATTTCTGATTACGTCGGCAAGATTTCCTGTCAAATCGGACATTTATCCGTTACGACTAGATGTCCAAGTCGACAGTAGTTGAATCGATCAGGACGATGCTTCATCCGTCGAGTCGACGGCTCGAGAGGACGATCTCTCCGCGTAGCTCTCGACTGCTGTCCACGACAGATTCTCGGGCGTTCACGATCAAATTATTATTATCATACTACCTGCTGTCTTTAACCAGCGAGCCGCCTGTTATTCAATCATGAGGAAGCGGTGGAGGACGGTCGATCTCAGCAGCGACGACGACGCGATGCCGACGCTCGCTTACCCTAACAGGGCCAGTCATGGCGTTCCAGCGCTCCACCGACATACCTGGCCCATTTTCAGCCGCTCATAGCGATCAGAGGAAGTCTTCCGGTGAGGTCACTAGGCGTTGGACAGTGAAGTCGGTTCGAGCTTTCGTGAAACATTGTAGTCGTTCGCGGATTGTACCTGTTCGAAATTCGACGGCTCCAAGTCCTGATTTCGACGCGCTCTCTCGCGAGCTCCCTTCGTTGCCGGCGAGCATGCTCGCGGATCATTTCTGTGGAGAATTTCCGCATACGCGAAACCGTACTGAGTGAGAAGTGAATCTCAGAGCACAGCTCCACCACGCAATTTTCACCGGAGCTGGGGTTCCGGGGCGTCGCGGAGTGCTCGAGCGCATTTTGACGTTTCGAATACGAGAGGAGGTACGATGGGGTAGCTTGACTTGGGAAATGCATGAGTGAATGGCGAGTTGCAAGTCTACTTAGGCCGGGTCCACAAAACTCGTAGCCTCGGCTTGCCGGTGATTGGCAGCACCATAGCATCTAGCACCTAGCATCTTCTCCTATCAATGAAATAAGTAGATATGATTTATTGACTGGAGATGGCTAGACTATCGTGTTCTCGTCGATGCGCACCGGCATCGAAGACGACCGTTGAGATCAGAGCTCGCTGGTGACGATTGCTCAGAGGGGGGTTCAGAACTTCGGGAGTTCATCTCGGTTCCGAATTCCGTGATGGCAGGAAAAAGGTGAGCGCCCATCGGTGTTGAGTTTCCGCGCTCGACGCAATGCCGTTCTCTTTTCGTCGCTCTTAGGTCGCTTCTCGCAGAAAATGGTATTCACTCTTAGAGCGCGAGCCGATCTCTCCCTTTCGAGAGCTCTGACCAGCTTTTGGTCCGTCTCGTGCGGGACGATGGCACCGAGCGGTCCGAATCTCAGACTTACTCCGCTCTCACCCGGTCCTCTTGGCGCTTCTCGCCGGTTGACTGGCTGACTGTGTCGTTCTTCGCGCCACCTGAGTGTCCCCTTCGCTATCTGGCTATTTCAAACGGGGCCCATTTCCCTGCTCACAGTCTCGCAAGCTGCGGGAATCTGTTTTCGGATTGTGATCAAGATTCGGAGAAGGGCATTCGGGAAGAAACCACCAATGTGATTTCCCTACTTCAGTGACGTTCGTGGGCGACACTCCGTCTCCCACTTTCCGAAGTGGTGAGTAGTACCCAATCAACCGGCATCGCCGAATTCACAGCGAAAGGAGGCATCAATTCAGATACATCGGGGCATGCTAGCAAAGTTTTGATGCATTGACTAAGTTCTCCAAAACGGCGCAGCGACGTCAAGTTCTGGAAGCTCCACGAGCCATCCCCCGGGGTAGATTTTGAATGTATCCATAGTGAGTGTTCCGTCGTTAGCGAACGGACAGATAATGTCGAGACCTGCCGCCGTGGAGTGTCGGTCTACACGATATCTTTCTATGAGAAATCTATGTCGGCGCAATAGCATAGCTCTCATCGCGGTCTGACCGACATGAGCTTCACAAACAACGTATTACAACATTCTAACGCTCACTGCTATTGGGACAAGGTGCTACCATTCCCCTTGTTCTTCCCGCGGCTCGTGTATGTCATTGAATCACTGCCATAGCTCAGAGAAGGGCGGACCGCCCCGCACGCGATTTTTCCGACCAGTTTTAAGGGCGCCATTTTCGGCGGTGGCAACCGAAAAAACGGGAAGTTTCATAGAAATGTCAATGTCATAAAATCAAATTCCAGGATGTTTTCGGGGTCGGGCGCATTTACCGGTGATGGCGTGTAAGCAAACGCAAGTTTCAGAAAGGCTTTCGCATGTGGAATGGAATTCCTGAGAAGGGGCGACATTCTCAAGAATGCCCCGGGCGCCGCTTCGCCACGTTACACCACCGCTTTGGATATTAAACCTCTGGTTTCTTTCAGCTTCGCCATGGGTCCACCGATGTCAGCGAGACTGTCTCACTCAGAGCCATCGGCAAATACGATAGAGACCGTTCACATCGTGAGACCTCTGAAAGTGAGTATTCATCTGGTGAAATGTAGTTTTGAACGGTCGCTGGGAGCGTGACCCAGTAGATTGCTCCCGGATGATCGTTCTGCCGTTATTGAGGCCTTCGTCTAGGATAGGTTCCGTCCCATGAATTATTGAAAGACGATCGGTCCTACGGCTCTGCGCGGACACACTCCCTCAGTTGCGATCAAACTGAGCTGCGGGAGACTGCCGGGAAGCGAAAGCACGAGGAGCCCGCGCTATGAGCAGATACTGGAATAATTTCCTTTCGCTCCCGATCGCCCCTCGCAGGATAGGCGGTAAACAATAGAAGACCGAGCGCCATCTTGGTCACAGGCGCCGGACCTCACACTTGGGAGCTTTGTTTTGGCAGGAGAGCATTGCCCAGCAGGAGGAGAAGTCGGAGGTGGAGAAGAGGACTTGTGAGCAAAATCTCGGTGCCGCAGTCAGGTGGGGAGGTCGAAGCACTCTCGGAAAATGAGACCTTCGAGCGAATCTGCTCCGTCCTGTCGCTCATCTGTCCTGTGAACACGAAGTCAGCCTTCACGTGCATGCTCTCGGGACGTAGATTTCTCCTTAAGGTGTCGCATCCAGTCGTGCGTCGATTACATCACTGCCGGAGTATACCCAGAGATCTGAGTCTGAGTGGGCATCAAAATCGATACGATATGCGATTATCGTCAGGACACATTGGAAAAGTGTTTTGTTCCGTGATCCGGAATCGTCCGACCCGCCATACACCATTAGAAAATCTTAGACCCGAGGGAAGAGAGGGTCCCGGAAAATGCATAAGATGATCTTCTGAGCTCTGTCAACCACGAAATTATCGATAAGTACCGCCACGGCTCAGTCGGGACTCGTTCACGGCATCTCTCGGCGCTCAACGAAGGATCCTGGGCAGGCCTGCTCATCTTATCCCGCATCCGACCGTTGTCCCCGGAGGATCGAAACACCTGGAGGTTCGCTAGTCCAGGACCGCGGTCTTTAACGGGGATCTCCATCTCCACATCAAACAGCAATAGTGTCCTGCAGGAAGCTTGAGAAAGAGCCGATTTCGTACTGTCTCTCGGTGAAGGGGTTCAGTCCGGCGCGAAAACAGGATGGACTCGCAGGTCATCTTCTCAGAAGCAGGTTACCCGGCGACGTATAGCTCACTTGGTCATTCTACGGCGAATCATCACGATTGCTCACGCAGAGTTCTCTTCGTCTCTCCGCTGGCACGGCCGAGGCATATATTGCCTCCGCATCAATTATCTGCTCTGCCTCATGAGAGCCCTTATCCTAGTTTCGGGGATCCCGATTACAAAGAATGCTGCTGTTTCACGACTTGTATCAACACATGTACTATGAAGCAGGTATACGCGTGAGAAGGGAAACTAGAGATTCCATGGGTATTCGGGAAAAGGTCTCGTGATTAACCTACCTCCGCTCCCGATTCTCAAGGTGTTCGCCTTCATTTGCGGACTTATCGTGACGCTTCTGATGCTGCTCAGTATCCTGTCTTCATCATGGCTCGTCGCTCAGAAGTATAGGCAAGGCCTCTGGGAACAATGTATTGAAGAAGGGGCTCTCGAGCCGCTGCCTTTCGGTCTTGAGGTGAATATCGTACTATACTGGACTTCTGTGTGTATCGGGTGCCGGAGCGTTGAGCTAACAAAATAACGGAATCATGGAATTATCTCGGATCCTTCAAGGTTGGTCCGGGCTGCTACGCCGCGCGAAACGTGACGTATGTCCAGGCCGCAGCGGCGTTGTGCGTGATCACCCTTCTGTGTGACATCGCTGCCACCCTCATGACAGGTTTCGGACTCTGTTCCCGGAACCCTGTGCGTAAATATATGCTGTATCGACTGGCTTTCTACGTGATGGTTTGCGCTTGTGAGTATGAACAATCGTCCATGAACTCGACCGCCCAACAGGCTTCAGTTCACCACTTGAACGACAATATTTCGAGAGCTGATTTTCCTCATTCATTAAGCAATCTGAATGTTCACCTTACTTTCAGTGCTCTGCATCCTGATCGCCCTGGTCGTGTACCCAGCTTGCTTCGCGGCTGAAATCGAGGACTCCAATCGACAAGTTTGGGAATTCGGTTGGGCCTATGGCGTTGGGTGGGGAGCTGCCATCTTCTTATTTGGTGGAATCTTGCTCCTACTTTGTGATAAAGAAACGGAAGAAATCTACTATCGAGAGCGGACGACATCAATGGCTCAGGTCGATAAGGCATGAGATCTCCGATAGAGAGCCTCCATTTTCCATTCGCAGTGCATGCGTCGGGAAGCCGCTCCTGATGGACACCTATTCGTATTTCTTATCGCTGCCGGAGGCGGTTCTTTGATTTGATCATTCGAACCATGAAGAAACCGTGCTACCAATTCTACTTGAGCGGGAGAACAGACGAACCCATGGGCACGCGATCGAGAACACGAATATCTCTTGCTACTGTACGTACTCCTTGGAGACGACGTCGCTGGGAGGCAAAGGCACGCTTCGAGCCTGGTTCAAGCTCGAGAACCGAGGTCAGGGAGCCGTCGGCGTCGACTTTCTGATAGTAAAGGATCAGCCGAGTCTTGAGGATGCTTTTGTGATAAGTTTTTACGGATGGGTCTAGTTGATGGGCCCTGAAGAAAAGAGACTTTTGATTCACCATCTCCAATTAGTCGATTGGAATTGAGGACGATGAGGAATGAACGCGCACATCCTGTACCCGCCAAGAGGCAATTTGTTCGAGGAGGTTGCGATGATTCATTATTCATTAGCTTCCTTCCGACAGGATGGACTTCGGAGCTTCTCTGTCATAGACGAGACGGAAAATCTCTTCCCGAGTCGAACACGGTTGCTTCCATGAGTCCTCCCATCCGGGAAGAATGGGTTTCGTCTCGCATCCTCTTTATCAAGCGCGTATAATTCACATTCATTTGAGTCTATATGCTTGCTTCAATAAATGGTCAAAGGAATACGGAATACCGTGGATCTTGATTCGTCCCGCTCGCCTATTCCCTGCCCACACTGACGTCTGAATCAACGGAAAGGGGGGCCTCATGGAGAACTTGGATATTGCAAACCATATCAAAATGATAATGATCATCCCCAGAATATCTCAGGAAGGACGATCGGATTGGATGCATGAAACCATCTGCTCGATGAGCTCCACAGTTTCATCATGGTATCGAGCCATCGCATCGTCGGCACGCCTATCGACCGGAGATATCGCACTCGTCTGAACAGGATCGATTTCGAAACTTTGAGATTTCGCTAAATTCGATTAAATTGAGGGATGAGCCATATCGCAGGAGCGATATGATTATGACGATTCCCTGCCCTTGACCGGGAACACTGTGTAGGACCTGCTCTCCTCCAATACACAATCGATCAAAAATTATTACGCTTGTCAACCAGGTACATAGAATTCTATGTTCATCGGGATTTCGACTGTCGGATTCGCTCTGAGTCTGATCAGTCGGGGGAGTGAGAATCTGAATCATTCCGTTGGGAAGCTAATGACAGAGATTAAGACATAGGGATCCAACGCAATAATGCCGATATCGATTCAATTCAATGTGATATTATGAATCTTGGTGACTTATTTACCTGAATAATAAGGATATATATCTGTAGGTATGACATGGCTCAGGGTAGGTCTGGAGGAGGAGGTCGGCGTTCGTACATATCACGGGCTCTGGGAATTGTAGAATTTGTTGGGGGGTCAAAATCTCTCGCAGACGCCGGCATGATACCTGCCGCAGGCTTCCGAAGATCGTCAGCATACGCAACTCTGTCTGTCTCTCTCAATATCTCAACTCCCGCTCCTTTGCCCGCATCTCCTATCGTCTTAGACTAGGTATACAAGAGAACGTATCTGAGCGTGGAATCACCTGGGTCTTTTCCATACGTACGTGGACGGGACAAACTGGCGTCGAGGGATGGGAGGTGAGAGCACAAAAATGGTTGTGACCGCAAAGTTTTTGGGACCCCAAGATATAAGACTTCTCGGAAATAAATCGTGTTATTACCGAAAAATTCGCCGACCCTTGGCCTGCCGCGCTCCTCTTTTCCCGAGAATTCGGCTACGACGCTCGCTCTGAAGCGAACTGAATATGCCCGCTCTGAGTGCCCGCCCGAGCGCCTCTCTCTCGTCTCCCAAAGTCACCACAGCGGTTCTCTCTCGCCAAACGAAGCGGCGGAAGCTGTGCAGTGCTTGCTCGGCGTTGGCTCCTCCAATGCTGCATCGCTCCGACTACATCGCTGGCTCTATGGCAGCCCGCACTTAGACAGCCAAGAAGACAAAGCAGTTGGATGATTACTTGCTTGGCTGGGACCGAGAACAAACAACCGACGGGAACATAAGTCTCGCGAACAATTCTGCTCGTCTGCCATCAAGAGAAACTGTCAGGCAGCCTGTGTCATCTGTGTCCCCAGTGAATAGGTGCTCCGATAAGCATTCAACATAAGGTGAAACTAACTGGGCGAAGAAGGAGTCTGCCGCGTATCCTCTGTTGCCCTCAAGTTGCAATGAAGATGCCTTCCGGAGAACATCGAGTGCGTACCTCAATGTTGGACAAAGATACGACAGAACGGACGAATTCGATAAGCCTCGGGCTCACATTCTACCAATTTATGCTATTATCTGATAGTAGAAACGAGAGATTCTTTGCATGCAATTCATTTCCCGCCTCTGAATCCGATCCTCGGAATGCGCATAAATCGCAAAGCTGGACTGTTTGCGCAGACTCTAAGGGAGTGGTCGTAGCTCGGGAACTCCCCACATCCGAAGACCCCATCCGAGCTAACCCAATGGGATGAATTCCAGGGCGAAATCGGCTTTGCCACCCTCCCGGAGCAGGTTCATAGAAAATCGGTCAAGAAGGGTTTCGATTTCACGCTGATGGTCGTTGGGGAAGCAGGTCTGGGGAAGAGCACCCTCATCAATTCGCTCTTTCTCATGGATTTATACGAAGAACGCAAGCAACCCTCAGTTGATGGTGAGTGATTCGATTGATTAATTTTCCCAGAAGACTCGAAACTCACGTCAGATAAAATGTTCTCCCATATCGACTCTGGAGGATAAGATAGTGCAGAGACACAGGCTCAGTGTGACGCTATTGCAGAGCGAGTTCATCGCACAGTGTACATCGAGAAGAAAACCATGGAGATCGAGGAGAAAGGTGTCCGTCTTCGGCTCACTGTGGTTGATACACCGGGCTTCGGTGATGCGCTGAATAGTGACGATTCATGGCGAGCAATCGAAAAGTATATCGATGAGCAGTTCAATCAGTTCTTCCGTGATGAGAGCGGCCTCAATCGGAAGAATATCGTCGATAATCGGGTGCACTGCTGTCTCTACTTCATACCGCCATGGGGACACGGTCTACGGCAACTCGATATCGAATTCATGCGACGGCTCCACAAGAAAGTACGTTCGCCATCACATGGACTGCTCGGTGGACACACGTCTATGAATCGGCACCCTTACATGGGACACTAATTCCAATTTCGTCACAGGTCAACATCGTTCCAGTGATAGCTAAAGCCGATACGCTATCACCAAAAGAAGCTGCAGAACTGAAGAAGATCATAATGAAGGAATTGGAATCCCATGAGATCCGGGTTTATCAGCTGCCGGAGTGTGATGAAGATGAAGACGAAGAACTCAAAACTACAGACCGCGACCTCAAGGTGATTACCGGCCTGAAGTTGTAGAAGGCGCGAGGCCGAACATTCTCCTCATTTATCCGATCGAGAGACACAGCCTCGCTCTCGCATCAGTCACGTTCTCAAATCAAAACTGCACCCCCACATGAGATCCACGGACGCTTCTGAAGCCTTTCGATGATTCGTGCACCACGTCGCCTTTGCTTTGACTGTTAATCCATTCCGGGGAGTTTCACTGGGAATTTCCAAGCTTCGAACACTATACAGGATGAATAGGATTGTCCCAACTCCGGCTCTCGATGACGTAGCGACCAAATGCCTGATTCTTCCTTACACAGGAGAGCATACCATTCGCCGTGGTTTCCAGCTGCCAAGTCGTAGAAGTTGGTGGCAGAAAAGTTCGCGGCAGGATCTACCCTTGGGGCGTTGTGGAAGTTGAAAATCCGAAGCATTCGGACTTCCTCAAGCTTCGAACCTTCTTGATCAGGTGAGTCTTCTAGGCTTGTTCCGATTCCGAGTGTTCCAGGGGTTCGCGGAACAGAAATGCGGAATGGTGTGGTATATCGTGTTTCATGGTGGCATTTTTTGAGGCATCACTTTGCTTCGAGTTTCCGTACGGATCGATCACACTTATCGGCTCATTTCATTGGGAGTCCCCCGGACTGAACTGTGCCTCAGGAGAGACTTCGGATCCACTAACTGACGTATATTTCAATTCTCGTCCGCGCCTCGGATGTTGGTCCGTCCGGCGGTCTCGCCCTGAACGGCGATTGGCTCGCTGCAGAATTATCATGGGTTTGTTCAGGTAGATGCTCGCCCACTTCCGCCCTCCCGCTGTCATTCCCCTCGAATTCTTGAATTTTTTCCTCAAGGTCGTACCGTCCTCATCCAAAATTCTTGGGAAAATGTTCACGCTTTTGATTTTGGCAAAGTAATGAACCAAAGGCACTCCACACTTTCGATCCTCGGTCTGCGATCGGTGAGAACAGATGAGTCCACCCGGAGGAAGAGATTATGATCCGCAGCATCGTCCGTCCAAAGGCCCATGAAGATCCCGCTTCCCCTGCTACTATACCATTGTTGTGGTCGTCCTCCTCCCTTCGTGCGCCCAAACCGATTGATAGAACGGAGACGGGGCGGAAACCTATGATAAGAAAATTGAATTTCTCCCCTTTGATTCCGAGCCGCTCTGCGGGGAATGACGACAATAGACAGAATCTGCAGCTCCTGACGAAAATTCTAAAACAGAATCTGTAGATCGAATGGCAGAGCTCGGGGGGATTATTGAGACATGGGAGCTCACTATCCCCAGAAGAGCCAACTCGTTTCCGTCTAAAAGGCGTGAAGGCATCTACCGTTCAACCCAAGATAAACCCACTGTACTACGTTCCATCCCTGAGTGCCTTTGAGTCCATTAAGTAGTTGCTCGCTGTTCATCATCAGAATGAATGAGTGAGTGCCGCGAAGCTTGAGCCGCAATCGATCGACGTCACGGAGAGAGAAGAGTTCAATTAATAGTCGTCTCAGAAAGTCCGATTCTCAAGAGCCGGGAATGCCGTCGCTTGGAAAGCCAACATCCAATCAAGCCCTGGATTGCGAAGATTTTCCTTGAGAAGGGAGAGTCTGACCGGATGTCTCGCAGAGATATGTCGAATGAATGAAGTTGAGCAAACACTCGAAGATGTATTCGTGTACCGGATGACTGTCTGTCATTAGTGCTATCAGCTCAAGTCTGCCTAGAGAGCCCCTTTGGGATTCGGGAGCATTCCTCTAAGTCATTGTTTCCAATGTAGTTCGCACATGCAAGACCTCAAAGAAGTCACCCGGGACGTTCATTACGAAAACTATCGAGCTGAATACATCCAGACTCTGCGAACCTGTGGAAAAGCCAGCGCTGCTGACATCGGCGTGGTACCGGTAATCCCCGATGCAGACAGACTGCTCCAAGAGAAAGAGGCTGAGGTAAGTGTTCCGCAATAATGGAAGGGTTGATCCGCCCCGTCAGGGGGGCATCTCCGAGACATTCAAGCTCATTAGAATCTAGGGAAGCGCTCAAAATAACCTTCTCGTATTCCTCCGAAGCTCCGAAAAATGCAGGAGATGCTGGCCCAGATGCAAGCGAAGCTTAAAGACACGTCCCGTTCGGCTACACCCTCTGGAAGCACAACTCCAGATCCGGATTCGAGATCGCGTCGAGGCTCGCACGATCTGCTCCACGCGTAACGTGCGCAGCTACCATCGAACAAGAACTCACGGAACGCCACAAATTTCACTCGAAACAAGGGAAAATCCTCAAAAATATCGGCGGCGGCTCTTGTGGGAGTCGAACTGCCAGACATTGGAAGGTCGAGCGTTGAAAATTCAAGGAAGGGGTGCTCCCTACAATCGATTCCGCGACGCGATGTCGACCCGAAATGCACCACGACGAGGATATCTCAACGGATCTCTAGCGACTCGGGAGACGGTCATTTCCTCGGACGAGCAATTAGCTCAACCCACAGAGCTCTACAGTCTGCGAGGATGTCGCCCGTCCACGCTGCCGATCAGGTTATCAACCCGATCCCTAAACCGAAGCGTCAGGTCAGTTTACCGGGGAAATCCGAAATGGTTGCGGCAGACGGCTTGCAGGAGAGCAGATCTGGCTTCGTCTCACCACCGAGGGACGGTGGCGCGGGTTCTCCGAGAGATTGTATCAGCCCAGGAGCTCAGGCAGCACATTCTGATGGCTCTAGACTCTTCAGTCGGCGGAAATTCTCCAGGCAGAGTCTTGATCAAAAACCTGACGACGATGTGACCCGATCGAAATCAATGGGGGCGCTAGCTAATAAGCTGCGTGGCGTCGCGAAGTTCGCTCATCAACTTACGATATCTCTGGCAAGTTCAGCGAGATCATCGAGAAATGTCTCTCCTCAAGGAGCCCCGACCGTCGCCGAAATTTCCGATTCTCATCCGCAAGACTTTCCTCAAGACTTCAAATCTTGCGCCTTCTCCTATAGGATATACGAATCCAGCTTTGACCTCCTGAACGAAATTACCGCGGCGTTCTCAGAAAGACTGAAGGAGGAGTTCCCGAAGATTTCGTGTGCACCGTCGGATGCATCCGGAGCTAGGCCTGGCTGCAGTCATGAACAGGAACCTCGCCTTCTGGAGGATAAGAGCGCTGACAAGATCGGTGATGAAGCGTCTCCATCCGAAATCCGTGGCCCTTTTGCAACCCCGAAGCGCACTCCCGCCGAGGCTTCTCAGAAGGCTTTGTCATTCCCTCATTGCTCGAGGAGCATGATGCATCGGGGGAATAATTGTCAAGCGCCGAGAACACTGCCCATATTCGTAGCCGAGAACAGCTCATTCGAGTCGTTCCCGCGTACTTCAAATTTCACACCAGGCCAGCGAACAGACTCCGGGAGCTGTAGAGCCAATTCTCGTCCGGGGTGTTCGAACTCAAGAGACAGATATAGTCGTGTCCCAATGCAGACAGCGGGAACTTTGTATCAAGCTGTCAGCTGCTGTAGCTCCAGTAGTCGAGGATCGTCTCCTGTGTCATCTCAGGTCAGTGCGGCCGTCCCTTCTGAAAACCTAGCCTCAGAACTCTATATCAGAGGGAGGCGTCGCTTAGCTCGTGCCAGAACAGACCTCGGACCAAGCAGCAGCCATTCTTCGACGACGAGTCGAAGCGATTACAGATTGGCCCGCTTGACCGAACGTGAGATCGCAAAGAGAGCTCAGGATGGACCGCGTCAGGTGAATCAATTGCTCAGTGAAATAGACGCAAGCAGCGACAGCTCCTCCATCAAATCGCACAAGCGGCGGCTTGTTTACTACTATACTTGCCTCTAATCAATATCATGAGCACCTGGGTGGAGCCCCATTCTCGGTCCGACAACCGTCTTGCGCATCCGGAATCGCGGCGTACGAACGCAGTGTGGTCAACTGAGCTCGATTTGCGCAAGAGCGCAGTTTCATTTAGCAGCGAATCGACTTTATAGGTGGGCGGCGCAACGAGTCACAGGAGGCGCTGTGCGACCCGGAAATCGACACAGGCACTGGGGTACTCGATAATAAGCAGCTTAGCGTGAATGAGAGAGTGTTCCGAGTGTGAACGTGAGAGGTGTAATGACATAGTGTGTTTGATGGTAGCTGCTCCTGGTATACATTCGATTGGAAGAAGCTAAGTCAGTCTCCGACCTTCGTCTCACCGTCGACTATGAGGAGACTGACCATTTGAGGAGTCAATACGGCGAAGTGCGAAGTCCGTGTCGATATGTTTGCTCAACATCCCTCTGGGAATGAGAAGTATTGTATGTTTCAAAGACCCGGGATGTCTGGGATGCACAGCGGAATATTGGAATGAGCTCCAGAGTGCCGAAAGCGACGGCCTGGCGATCAAGCTCATGGCGTGGCTTCGTTGGAGCGATGAACGCCCCTGAGGAGTAGGTACTTATCGGAGAAGCATCGTCAGAACCGGGATTCCCCAAATTCCGGGGACGAGAACGCTTCACTCTGGATATGGCTACATCGAACGCATTCAATGAAGACTGCCGCATCAAGTTATCGAGGATAGATGTGGAGGATCCGAGCTCATCGAGTCTCGATGAGTCGGACGCACAATTAGATCCATCTAACGATAAGTGAACAAGATATGGTATTGATTCAGACGTGTTCGGCAACGATAATATATTCGCAAGGAAATGTGCGTTACAAATAATATATTTCGCATCTCGCGATGAGACTCTGAATGCTACCGCATTATTTCTCGGTGGACAGATTCAGCCCTTTGCACAATGATCTCTACGTCGCCTTCCAAAGTTCAACGATGGATTGCTGATCATCGAGAGTCTAATCGCGACTTTGGCATCGAGACGACAGAAAACCTTGAACATTCCTTCCGAGAGTCAAGACTCGGGCAAGATTCCAGGGATACTCGTTTCGGAAATTTTTCTTTCTTTGGGACCTCAATAAAATCGAGTTCTTCAGTCAGATTTTTGAATTGGATCTCTCCTGGACCGTAACACAGAAGGAAATTCACCGACCTCTATTGCGTTTCGCGATGAACAGAAAGAAATCGAAACGACCCTCAGTATGTCCGCGATATGCGGCAGCCAAGGAGGCAGATTATAAGCTCAGTGCTGACCACGAGCTTCGGCGAGACAAAGCAACCCCTCCGTGGATTTTTCGCCAACGCCCTTACATTGGAGAACGTCTCGGGGAGGTCGGCCCCATGTGTGGAGCTGGTGCGGAAGTCAGAGATGGCACCGTCGAGACCTCGGATACCGGAGGGAGATTATTTTCCTCAGACGTACATACATGTGGGATTGAGTCTTTCGGTAAAATACATGTGATCGCTGAACTCCGTTGTTCAACTCGGATTCATACAAATACTACGCAAGGGCATGTTATCCTCGCGGAGACGCCAATCAATTCGAGAGGGAGGGCACCCTCAACTCCCATTCGTCACTTCCTCCGCCGCGCCGCTCGTCTAACTTCGTGTCGCCAAATGATTCTCCATGTCACCGTAGAAGCCGCAATAGGCCCGGAGCGACCAGAGAAGTTTTCCAGCTCGTAACTGAGGGCGCATGCATAGAGTCGGGGACGACCATCGACAGCGACGGAAGATTCAGGATTCAAGGGGTTCTCAACGCGCCTGACTTGATCAAACACTTGGGGAGAAGCTCGGTAATCCAGGCATTGGGTACGCGATGGCTTCATCGGCAGTTGAGGGAGCGCTAGATGGGAGGAGACAGTCGAGTTTTGATGACAGAAAAATGTCCATACAGAGGCGCACAGGAAGACCACCATGAATGATGTATAGGAGTCAGAATGTCGAGAGTCAGGCGTCGAAGGCGAGATGAGCTTGTCCTATGAAAATCGGTTCTTTCAGCTGCGATATCTGCCGAATATCGAGAAGCCGGCGTAGGAGGCGAGATAGTGTAGTCCTCCTGGAAATCGATTCTTTTTGTTGCACTAATTGGTTGCGGTGTATGCATTTCCACGGTCGGGAAGGGGCAAGCCATGTTCATTGACGGAGAAAAATAGAGAAGACTGTCCGAATCGACGAACTTATTCGAGTGCGCCCCCAGTTTTCCGGGGGAACGGAGGGATGAGTCAAGCAGAGATTCGGTCCCTTAGTTCTTCCCCGAAGGCGTCGGTATGTACATGCATCGGTCCCTGAATACCGACTGGATTGAAACTCGTGAAAATCGGTGAGCCTGCCAACAAAGCAGCTGCTCGACCCCATTCAGCGGAAAGTTATCAAAGGCGTGGGGGAGCTTGCCTCAGCCGATTCTACCGCGCGTCCCCGATTCTCGGTCTCCGCAAGAACGGGATCTCGGGTATTGCTCCCCCGATTATCGTTCCCTTGATCATCCTAACCCCGATTATCATCTCCCCGAGTTTTCGCCCGCTGGTTTTGCGGCGTCTCTCAGAGGCTGTCCGAGCTTGTGCTCGGAGGATCCGACCAGCGAATGCGACTCGAATGGGCCCGATGCGACGTCAGGACACAGCACAGTCTCAAATCCGACCCGACCGCTGCGGCGAAAAGGTGGGCCATAAATGACATTCCGTGCAAATCTAATCGCGAAGTCGTCGTGTCGAAAGATGGGTCCGCGTGTCACATCTCACTCTTTAGATCTGACCCGTGAAACCGAAGTACTCCGCGAGTATTGCCAAACGAACTTGCCCCAGGTAAATATCAATGCCGAAGGATAGTTGATGGTTGAATATCTCGACCTCCCTGGAGTCCACACGTCTAACAAGCACTCGTAGATGATATCACAGGCGGACTTTATCCGCCGGCCTCGTTTTCTCGATGTAACGCGATCCGTGCAACCGACGTCATCGTCCCAAGCTTTGGGATCGATTTCCGAAGCTCAGATTTTTCTCCATTGCCTCGACAAAAACTCCTCCGTTCAAGTGTCAGAGTGACTTCTCGGACAATTCGATTTGATTCAAGCTTCGCTGCCAGCCCTCGATGTTTTCTGTTGATCAAGCTCCGGAACGGGAGCAATACGCGTTGAAGTCATGAGTAATGATTGTAAGACGTTTATTGTAATAGAGGTACCGATTTCCCTTAGCTGAGAGATTCGGAGAAATAAGGTCGACTTTGAATGAGTTGAATGATGACCAGGAAAGGCCGCGGCGAAAAATTGATCCACTCAGTCTCACTTCAGTCTCAATTGTTAATTCACTTTATTTAGCCTCTTGATCAAGCGTCGTAGAGAATGAATTGGGTTTTCGCTTGATATTCGGCGACTTTTTCTTCCCGGAACAAAGGATCCTCCCAGCACGGTAGACAGTTTCCCTTCCGTACCCTCCGCCCCTCGTGCCCGCAACCCTTCCCTCCCCGATATTCGGTGACCCCTGCTTCTTTACTCCTGTTCTAGACTCCGGATAATTTGACCGAATTTCCTGTCAGATACGGCGCCGTCTAGCTACGAGCACCATGCCCTAAGGAGGGCGTATCATCAAATAAGCTCTTACACCATACAGAATGCTACGATACGTATGGGCATCAATGTCGTGTCTGCAGAAGGTGTGATAATTGGCTAGGTCGGTCATGTGGGATCACTCGGTCAAAATGACCCATATACAAAGAAGAAGTAGAGGTTCCCGCAATTATTCGTTCTCCATTTATTCCAGAGAAGCCGTCTCTTTCGGGAGAGAGGTCACTCTGCTCACTTAAATATCCTCCTGTCTGGGTCGGAAATACTTCTACGTCATGAAGACAATGGATTCGCTCAGCGTTCCGGTATTTATTAATTTATGAGGCTCGAGGGCAAAGCTTTTCGCCCCAGGGGGAGCTCGCCTCTGCCGGCCCTTCCCGTTCGTGGAATACGGGCTTTATACACTGGATGGTACTGGCAGTGGGAAAGATCTCTCGAGCTCGCTCGATAAAACACGATATGAGGCTGGCTCAGGAAGTCGCAGCTGTGTGCGCTACTGCGGCTCAAATCACGACAGATCGAATCACTGACCGCAACTTCCGAATTCGAAACACTCCGCGGCCCAACGCGCTTCACACAACGGGGGTAGGTAATCCTACCTGGGCTTTTCGGTTATTGAGACCTAAAGGCGCTCTGTGAGATATATTCCTAGAGGGTTATCAGGTGATCTCGACCTGGAGCTCAGAAAACTAATTATCAGAAGGGTATCCGAGGTAAGGGTGCCTGAGCTCGAAGTCCCGGCCGATACATCAATATTGTCCGCTCTGGTTGTCGCGAACTCTTTGCGCTCCTAGTGAAGCTTCCACAACTCGAACACGTATTCTCCGTCTCCGACCTCAAGTCAGAAAGTCTCGCGTGGGGTGCTCAGGAGCTCCGACAGTAGGAAATATTCGATCTCGAAAAATACATCATAATATACTGACCGGAGTCTACTCCTCACAGCAATACAAAATATTAGGTATACTAGTGATCGTCATTGCGCACAACCATTCGACACAACTCTGTGTTGACGAGGTCCAACTTCGGCTTCCCTGGCTGCACAGAGCCTTAGTCAGATGCGAACTCCCCGTGAAAATCATAAATATGTACATATATTCTGAATAATTCAGGGCGTTTTTCTCGAAAATTCATGGCGATTTTTACCACCGTTCACTTCCTGTGGAGGATCGCCTGGAAATACCGTGAAAATTGACGGCACTCGGTGCGACCTCGCTGGCGTCCCAGCCCGCTGAATCACGCTTGCAGGTGCGGTCCTGTCATAAATAAAGTTGTATATGCTTCGCAAGACCGAATCTGACGATAGCACTCCGTCGGCGGCCCCGTTTCTCGTTGGTTCCTGTCATTAGCTCAGGGTCTTAGGGATGGCTAGTCACAAGTGGCCTCGTGTAGCAGAAAAGTTCTCCCTTTCGGATTCCCCGGGCTTCCTGTCAGCAGGTACAATCCTCGATCCTTGAGAAACAGACCGTTCGAAGGGTCAGCTTGACTCAACGACTCGAGAGCTGAGATTCTGTTCCCCCATACCCGCTACTTTGTGCGGTTGAACCTCATACTGAGGTTTCCGACTGAAGGCGAAGAACGAATCGATTGCATTTCGGGTCGACAACTTCCTCTGTAATGTTGAAGTGAGGGAGGTCAGACACTGTTGCCATCAGGGACACGTCGCCCTGACGCAAGATGAAGGTCAGTCCATTCTTTATGGGTCTCGAGAGGAACACGTCACAGACTAAGGCCCACGACTGGATCTGGGTTGATAGCTCGCGTTCGTCCTGTAGAACCGGTTCAGATTTCAGATATTTTTCGAGGAATGTTTTCGGACTGAGATCATAGTGTAAGCAACTGCTGAGGTGCTCGAGGATGCCTTGCATCGTATGGCGAGGCTGTTGTCTAGTGATCCTCAGATACTTTTGAAGAGCACGCGCCATTGACGGAAAAACAGCCTGCGCGGCTTCCTGCGAATCCATGAGGAGCTGAGTGGACGGCTCCTGATTCTCGCGAACTCTTTTAATGTGCGTGAAGGCTTCCTCCGCTGCCGTTATCAAGCGAGCCCTTCTCTTTCGGACTCGCTTTTCGTATTCGTGCTCGGCGTAAAGGCGATCAGTGGTTCTTCTTCCGTTGCCGCTGGTTTGAGCACTCGTATGTGATGTCTGAGAAGCTGATCCATTCAAATCGTAAACTTTGAATGATTGCGAATGCTTCTTCGATGAACCAGACACCGGGAGCTGTTCCAGGAAAGGATTATACACAGGGAAATCGCGATAATAATTTTCGAGCAGCTGGACTGCGGCTCGCTGAATACTAATTGCTCCCAGCGAGTAACACTTGCTAGCGCCGTCTGGACTGCGCACCACTTTCACAAAATATTGAGGCTGTAAGTGACGGATCTCAAGCATCAGAACGAATATATAGTGCAAACACAATAATGAGATGATCAATGAATCGGCGAATTGAACGATCGATAGGTATGTCAGATCGAAGTCCTCGTAGCGTTTTTCGTAAATCCTCACAGAATAGAAGAGCCAGAAACAGACCAAGATCACCACGATGATGACAATGAAGACCGCTCGGAACACGAATATTCGCGGCATAGTTGCGCGAGGTTTGCGAAAGAAGAGCGCCCAGCATGCCACCGAGAGAAAGGCAAGTTTGAAAGCAAAACTTATGAGAAGTCCGTCGCATTCCGCGCCGCAGGCTTGGACTTTCCAGGGCTGATCCCAGATGGGAAGCTTAGGTATGAGCAACATCGCGAGGGGGGACAGAAGAGCTGCCACGGACAGCAGAGCTGCGACGACGCTTCCGAGCCACATGTGGAAGAGGAAAAATCCAGATACACCGCGAACATCCGAACCGAGTCTCGATATGTCTTCCGCTGATATCGAGCGTTCCGATGTTGCTCCCGTGATGCAAGTCGTGTTGTCGCCCCAGTTGTCGTCTTGAGGAAGGATTTGCACTTCTACCACTTCATCGCTGTGATGGCCGTTACTGACCCCTCCGAGGCCGCCCGCCGATCTTCTTTCTCTCCGATGCGAAGCTTTGCTTTCCTTAAATAATGAGTTGTTCGCATCGACGGCTAAACGCGGAACAGAGCTTCGGTTCGACATAGCTCTACTCGTGCTGTTGACCAGATTGAAGCTATTTGTGCCCCCGCCGCTCCCCATATTACTCGGAGAGCTCAGGTGCAGGTTTAGCGTTTCCCTGTCATTGACGACATCTAGAGCGCACTCTCGATCGACTCCCTGAGACTGGCTGTAGGGGATTACCGGAGACTGACCTATTGGCTGTAGGGACCGGCTCAAGCTCAGGGAAGCTTGGGAGGGGGTCGCAAGTTCTGTCGCCGTATACGGCGGCGGCACCCGCCGGGATGTATGCAGAGGAGAACTAAGCATCGTTCCTCGCCTTCTGGCCGTTATGATCGATTCAGTCAAGCTCTTCGAGACGAGGGCGAGCTGTGGATATCGGGTGGACTCGGATTTCGCTGGTCGACGCGTCGAGTGTAGGCTTATCACGAGCCGACTCCTGAGGTTCGCTCCATCTCCCGCGGAACCTTCGCTTGGGCGCGGCTTCCTCTTTGGGGAATTCTCTTCAAGGCTCCAGAAGTCTTGCGGAACTTAGAGTCGTAGCTCGAGACATCGACTGTTGACGACCCGCAGTAATTCTCACCAGGCACGACCTCACCTCCTGCCTGACAGGGTTCTAAAGCGAATGGCGATCCTTTCGAATGTTTACGGCAAGCAGATGCAGATCAGGGCTCCTGGTTCGGAGCATCAGAAGCGGCAGCACCAGTGTGGATATCAGCGTCTCTCTCTGGATCAGATGTCGAAGAAAAATTGCACGGGGCTCCGCCAGACGGCGCTATGAAGGCGAAGTAGCTCGCTTGAGGAAACAGCGCCAAAAACGGCGAGATCATATCTCCTATCAGCGAGGCTGATCGCTGCCGATTTTCTGATTCATCCCCCCTCGAGATAAGCCAACTAGACTACCCAACTATCTCCCCATCCGCGGAACCGCGGCTTCCTCTTTGGGGAGGCCGCGATCATGATTGATGAGGGCGGCCTCACCCTCATCAATCATAGGACATGGGGACAATCATTGTAAGCAGAATGATTCTTGAGGAGAAATCGTCGTGTCGGATAGTGAAAGGGCCCGATCGGAATCTCTCTGCAGATGCCTCGAAGTGATCTGGATCTCGAAAGCACATTCCATTCCACGATATACGGTCGATTCTCGTTGGTGACACGAATTTCCAACAGTCTGTCCGACGCGGGGGAGCAGACAAGAATCTGTTACGAATCTACTGAGTCAGAAGTCAGACGCTTCCAAAGCAAAGCTGGTATGACCAAGTCGGATTTTCGGGTGCCTTCTTCCTTCTTTCAAGACATGTCACTGTGCAACAGTGCCGAACTCCGACAATTTCACAACCAATACGGGCGGCGAATGAGCGTGTCCCTATTGTCCGATCGCCAAAGGAGTCTTTCTCCTTCTGTGGAGTCATTCTTCAGAAAAATATTACGCAACGATCAGTTTATTCAGATTTTCTCGGTCGCTCATTTTTTTTCAGCGTATGCGGAGAACGTGCACGGGAATGTCAAGTGAGCTTGGAATATTCGCTCGAAATTTCGAGCCTCTCTCCTCTTCCGTGCTAAAGGCCTCTTTGGTTCATTGTCCTGCGGGAGAAGATCCATACGCCGCGACGCTCGGTGGTTGGACAGAATTGAGCGCTGATACTCGAGCATCTGGGAAATCTGAAAACGACTTGACATCCCCTTCTACAAGCGTCCGACTCCACTCAATCCGTGACCTTTGGATGAAATTGCTTGCTGAGAGGAAATTATAGCATTCGTTCCGAGCTGCAGATGTCCTGGTGCCTGAGACCCGTCAAGTGGTCTTCTCCGATGTCTGATCCCCAATGCTGGAGCCTGTTTTACTGCTGAAGTCCCGCATCACTTGCTCGAACACGTCGTCCCCTGAGAACCCGAATAGAAATTACATCGTTCGATTTCTGAGCAATCCAACGGATACAGAAGTTGACAGATTCGAGCTGTAATTGCAGAATTAGCTTCCTCACCACCGGTGAAATCTGAATCTTCCAATTTCAGATCTTCGCGGAATTTATCCAGACGTATGAGAGTGACGATCTCGGCGTTACCATTCGCTACGGCCAGGGAGAGGGCGGAGTTCCCATCGCGATCGAGAGCATCTCTGTCGGCTCCCTGAAGATTTCAGGCAGTAGATATCGAATGGTGGGCAACGAAATCATGGAAGGAATCGAGGGAGGCAGGGGATTTGTGGTACATCCAGATATACATGAGGAAGACGTCAGCTTCCGGGGACGAAAGGACCGGAGACTTATCGCAGCGAAATGTTACAATGGGAGTCTCAGCTTGGAGCTGCACTCATCATGGGGAATTTTCTCGGTCTCACTGATTATTCTGCGGTAGCTGTCAGTTTTGCTCCGTGTCACGAATCACGAATGAAAGTCTTATCGATGAAATGAGTACATGAGGCTCATCTTCTAGAACTACCTTTTTGAGGAGAAGACCCACAAGGGCGACGGAGCTCACTTGGGATGCCATATGCAACGGAGTTCTACGATCCCCATCGACAGCAGTATGTTGAGCGCCATTCAAGAGGAGGAGCTCAGCTGCCGAAACCCACGGTCCACCCATGATCGCCTGGAAGTTCCCGGGTATTTGAGACAAAGAAAAACAGCCTCCCGCGGAATCGGGCAAATGATTATCATGTCAGAGCACGCGAGCCCCATCGGACCTGAGACATACCCTATGCAGCGGTGTCCTATCATGATCTTCAGCACAGTGGTAGTTTGGATTCCCGCCCAGGGCCAAGGCGTGGAGCATCAAGTGTAAGTCATCGACACCAGCAGCTTCGTACAGCAGCTTGGAGGGGCTTAACTCGCTCATGTCGAAGATTCGACTCGGAGCCTGTGGAACAAGAACCTGAGATGAGAGGGGAAGGCTTAGACGCCGTGACCATGATAAGGATCAGCTCGCATCAGATACGCCGTGACCGATGACCCACCGCATCCGCGTTCTCCTCTGAAGATTCCCCTCTGAACTTGGCCGTCGAGTGCTCCTCTCCACCGAGCACCAGAACATCAGAACCGTAGTCCTGCGTACTGTAAAGTCATGCGAATCAAGTCAACCCCGCCAATTCGAGTAGCGGTCTGTGCAGGGAGGGAAGTGGCGCGCGAAAACATTTGGCTGCGTGGAGGGAGTTCGAGCCGCGCGGAGGCGGTCCAAGATTCTCAGCTGGGCCTTCCTCCCCCTCCCATGAAAATGATACAGTAAAAGCTCGTTATAACGACCCCCATTACAGCGAATTTCTCGGTACAACGAACAAGGAATTTTTCCTCCTTTGGCCAGCTCGCCATAGGGATAGTGCTGAGCGGCATTCCTTACAGCGAAAACTCGGTACAACGAACCAGTTTCGTCGGTCCCTTCGTGTTCGTAGTAACGAGCTTTCACTGTATCGGCAGTCTGAGAGAAATGCTTGCTATGTCTGACTGTCCGAAAGACGCTCATCAGAGCGTTCGAATCGGACTCCGTGGAATGAGATACACACCTTGAATTCATGACCGTCCACCGCCTATAAATTTCTTTGTCTCCATCCGGCACGAGGGGTTTCACAAAAGATTTTTCTACGTATTTCAGCCGGATCCACTCTTCTCTGGAGGACCTATCGGAATCGTGCGTGGCCTTAGGAGATTCCTCACAAGAATACTCGAGTATCTGGAATTCGATGATCCATGAGTCCATGAGCCATTTATCCATGGGATCTCAGGTCTGCGACACCTCGTGATATCCCTGATCGTCTTGTAGCTGACCTTATTCACTGCGGTATTACCAAGTCTTTCCATAATTTTCACGGTCTCGCCTTCCCACGAGTCTAGTTTCAGTGATCGAACCTAGAATCGAGAAAAAGATCACTCGATATCTTCGATTCTCCCCAAAAAGGGAAGGAAATCCGGTAAGTGAACCAGAGCTTCTCACCTTGGATATATGAACCCCCAGAGATCGGTGAATTCCAGAGCATTCGATGCATAAAGTCGCCCCGATATTCACGATTGCCCATTCTGGCTTAGGGGAGCCGCAATCAACGCACCTGTTTTCCAAAAAGCTGGGGTAAGTCTCTGAGGCTACTCTCCAACGAGCTCCGTGTCTTTAGATAGGGATTCGGACTGACATTAGTACGACGCACTGGCTTCCCCTCGCTGAAGAATACACCAACCTCTCATTGCCTCCAGCCGATACCGATGGAGGCGGCACCGCGAGCTCCTCGAAATTCATATTGTGCGCCTTGTTTATACCTTTCAAAAGAGCAAATGGAGTCAGACAAGGGGAAATTCCAGAGCAGCATCTTATCTGCGGATTCCGGATCATGCATCATCGTCACTCACCTTTCTTGATAGTTTCGACCCAGAGTTTCTGCGATTTCTCCGAATCAGCTTGGAGCATGTGACTCTTGTGCGGCGACACAACCTCGAAACAATGTCGCCGATCCCCACCGATCAATACTTTCACTAAACATAAACGCAAGTCCTCTTCCATGACGGTCAGATTTCTGTTTTCCGAATCACGTTTCCTGTCGAAGAACTTGCATGAATCAGTCTGCCAGCATGCGGGCTACACTGAGCGCGGCCTGAGATCGGTCATGAGGCTGCGATGCTGCTCTAGACAGTTCCTGCGCAGCCTAACGCTGCGGATTCGGTGCTGTGACTCATGAGACATCTCCATTATCCGAGGATTGAGTTTTACTGGTGGCAGCGATCCAACAAACTGTCTCCATCCAAGAATTCATCCGATTCGGTCGATTGCAGTCAACTCCTGCCAGACAGGGATGGAGATCTATCGGGAACTCACCTGTACGACAACCGCCCGTTCTCTAGTACGAACCACCGTCGGTTCCATGTCTTGAAAGCACTTGTCGTTTTCTTGAACAGGTATCCTTCCAAAAGACCCTCACCGAGGGGGAGCGGACAATCGGGTTCGCCGGAAACTTGTCTCAGGTAAGTTTCTAATTCCTGAAATTGATCCGAGTGAACTGACATTAGACGGTCGAATCCGGAGGCTCGAGGATTCCTGCGAAGCCCTCCCACTGAGCTGCGTCGCCTCGAACTGAAGCTCTGAGCTTTCTCCCGAAAACAGTTGCGGTCGGGCGACCGCGGGCTCGCCCTTGCTATAATGGTTCCATATTTCTATTCCTTCCTCGTGAAAAGAGCACGCGGAGTCGAAAATCCCCCAACCCCCTCCCCCCTGCGCATACATCGACCGTCGAAAACTCGGGCTACGCGGCCGCCGGAGAATTTCTCGGGAAGTGCAGCCTACTTCCCCAAATCGCAGGACTGGCAAGAGCATTCTCACGAACATCGCGTATAATGGCGGGGCGAAATCCACACCGGGAATATGAAGGATTAGATCTACTCCCAGAGCGGGTGACGTCGGATGATGACTCCAGCTGCGCATGTTCCATATACTTCCTCCGTTCGAAGGGAGGGGGACGCTCTCATAGGGGAAGGAACGGCGCAATAAGCATCAACACCGAAATAAATGCATGGTCGTCAGACACTAACTCTCGAAAGCGTCATCCATTCTTTCTCGTGACTATTCCGCCTGGAGCCGAAGTATTTGGATGCCTCCTCGAGTTTGGGTTCGTGTTCAGTGAATGTTTTCAACGCTTGCGAATGATACGTCCTGAAGGCCTGCATTTGACCGAGCAGAGCCTCCATTACCTGCGAAAAAGAGTCCGAATATAATTCTACCGTAGTTCGGGGCTCGAAAGTATATCGGGTCCTCCGGCCCCTGGATTTTCGCCTAAGGACCGGGAACTGTTATTCCGGCTTGTATTCCCCTCCTCTATGGATGCTAAGGCCGACCCTCATGATGACGTCCCGATCAACGCAGAGTGCTGGATGCGACAAGCTAAGAGGATCCACGCAATTAGGGGAGACCTTGTCTCGTCTTCCAATGTGTCAGCCGGGGAACCGCAACGACTTCCATTTTCGGTCCGGGGGAATCGACACGAGGACACAGCCCTGAGTCTCTCCGAAAAGGAGGAGAACAAATGATTCGGGGAGGTGTAATGATAACTTGGCGCTTGGTCGCAGGTCTGACGTGAGACGTTTCGATTGGACACCGAAAAGAAAAGTATCTCTCACCCCCCTATCGATAGAATTCGGATCGCTATCCATTGAGCGGCCATGGCGGCAAGTGCAGGGGGCCTTTGGAACGGACGCAGCCTACATCTCTTTAGGGTATCTTAAAACGCTTAGCGTCACAGTTGGGGAGCTTAAGCCATGCTCGACCTCCTCCTGGAAGCCCGTACTTCCGAGGAAGCCATGGGCTTCTTTCTTGAAAATTCTATTTTGGAACGGCCGTGGAATCGGAGAGATCTTTCCTCCTGGAGATGGAAAAACAATCGACTACCATTCTAAGGGGATGGATTTCGGTAGGAAGCGATATACCTTATGAGATTTGGCTGATTGAACTTTACTCATCTGTCCTACGTATTCTATGGCAGTGTGTTGGAAGCAGGTCCTGTTTGCTGTGAGTAACTTCCCTGTTTCTTCAACTTCAGAACATTTATTCCTAAAAAAAATAATCAGCTGATTGGGGCTATGCTACAGCCTCATGAACGGAGCGGGGAGGGATTCGTTCTCAGATCCAACATTCCCACTCACTGCTTGTCACTCACCTAGGAAGCTGCGCATAGCGATTCAAGGATCCGTCCAGTTCTAGCGAGATTTTCAGGAAAGCACTCCGAGATTCCTTGAGTTTTTTCACGTCACTGTAAAAAGCGATCGGGTATGATGCACCGGAATGGCATGACTTGATCGATTGAAATCTATAGTGAAACGCAATCCTCCAAGTTGAGCCTTCATGGGACCAGCGAGAGTTTCCTCGGGGGAGCTGAGGAAGGTTCGTCCGGGGAACTCCGTATTCAAGACCTCCCGATTCTCGTGACTATGCGCGTGAAGGAACCTCATGCTAGTAAGTGGAATCGAGCCCGCCAAGCTACCGGTGCAATCGCGACCTCACGGTCTCGTAATGTCCTCTTCGAATCGGATTCGCTTACCTCTTAAGGAAGGTCGTGAGAGTTTTTGCAAAACTACGTTCTCCGTGGTCCACCAAAATCGATCCAAACTCTATGATGTCACGTCCTATTTTGATGATATCATCGATCCAAGCCTTGAAGGAGATATGCGCGAGGAGAACGAGTTAAAATCCACCCTCCGAATGGTCGATGGAGGGATATTGGGATTCGTATGAGGCAGGGTCTGGTCGATGTCCGAGTGACCCCGATCCTTATGCTCGACCCTCGATTAAGCGTAAAAGTAAGTAGAAGGCCGTGACGAAAGCCTCGCTGGCGGATTCGAAAGGGGGGAAGTCGAAGCTCAATTCTGGCGGCGCCGCGACAAATCAGCTCGATGTTCTAGAACTCACGAGGATGGGCAGATGGTACACTGGCATCTTCTATCATAAAATCATAACCGTGACCGACCTGTATCTGCGCGTTGTCCTTGAAGTGGCTCGAGAGATCATCAAGGGCGTCGAAGAATATCTTCATCGAAGTGTTGTATTGTCTCCCTTGTTCTATCATGGCCATGCAGCCCTGGATGAGAGAGAGGTCGAGAGAATGTCCCGTTACCGACTTCATATGTTCGTACCTACAATCTCCGATGCAATTCTCGGAAACGGGATGGCGAGCGACAGCAAAGCTGGACGGAAATGTGGCCAAGCATAATGCTAATCGCAGAATCTCGGAGCGAGACTCACCTTCACTGTGCGGTCGATTTTATTTTCCAGCTCATCTATGTTTTGTTCATTTTCACGTAGACGTTCTCTGGAATCAGGCAGGGGTGTATACAACAAGGACTCATATCAAAATCTCGAACCCTGCCAATGGGGAACGAGGATATCTTATCCGACGAGCTGATCGAAGGTTCTCCACCGAAGCATCCGTCAGCCATTCTGCCTTCGACGTGGAATGGATCTCTGTCTCCGGATGCCGAGATGGAGTTCCGGCTTCGGTTTTCCCCCGCGAAGCGCTAGCCGCCTACGATCCCAATGGTGAACCGCTTTTGTATCATTTCATCTAAATACATCATACCTGAAGAGAGGCGAGTCTCTCAGAGCTTCATTCAGACTGATCACTGGTAACATTCTGCTCGACAATCGCAACTGCCCGGAATGCCCCTCCTGAGAACAATGGTTTCAAGATAGAAAGCGATTCCCTGACCTCATCACACATCACAGTCCGCTTGACAGAATAGGCCGAACTGACCTGACAATCAGGGATTCTGGAGAATCGAGCCAGCTGACAAAAATAAACACTGGACCTGTTTAGCTGCTGAGTATTTCTTATCCAAACTCATCTGGACCCTCTCGGATGCCGGCGACGGTCCGGACATTCACCGCAACCTTGATGATCGTCAGGATACTCGGGATACCGTGTAGTTGTAAGTACCATGAATCATAACTCGTACAGGAATTACAGGGGATAAAATCGAACAAAATCGAAACCCGTCGGCGGGAAATAGAGTCAATGACAATGATGATCTTTGCTGAAAAGTCCAGCGCGATCTTGCAGTCACCCTCATCGTCTAACTGACAGAAAGAATCCGACTTCACAGTCCCGTAGACGAGCAGTCGTTAAAGCGATTTCGCCTCAGAATATCCAAATCATCCTCAGTCATCATTCTTCATGCTTCCCTCTAACATTGAAGAATCACTAGAAACATGGTCTTCCAAGAAGGGGGCAAGCGGCTCCCGCAAGTGCTTGAGTTCACTTGCGATTGTCCATCGACCGGTAAGGTCGCTCATCGAAGCGCGCATGTGAGCGTATAGCCTTTGGATGCAGCGGTGCACAGCGGTCAAGAATCGCATTTCAGGTGGACAAGATTATGGCGCCTCCCACGCCTTATTTCCGGTGCCTGACGCAGTCAATCGTCCCTTCGGGGAGCGAAGAAGGTCTGGGGGGCCACGTATACATCTCGAGCGATAGCGAGAGGGCCACTTGATACCATCCTGGAATACGATCCAGTGTTGAAAAAACCGTGGAAACGTTGAGAGCGAGACGTGATCCAACCACAAGCAGTAGAAAGACTGTTCTTCCTTCTGATCTCTCTTGAAAATCTCAGATTGATTCAAATTCCTCATTCCATTTCTTCCGCGGGAGCTGGTGGAGTTGTGTCCCTAACATCTTCCAATCTGTTGGACCAGGCTTTAGAGTGGGGCAACAGATTTCGGGGGACGGCGAATTGCGGGGAGCGGTGGATTTCCGGTCTGCGGCATCGGTTGATCTCGGCAATTCAATGAGACCATTCTTGACCGACTCCGAGCCGTAAACTCTCCGCAGGAGCGCGAAGCCGGCTCAAAAGGGAACAACTGTATCGGATCCCTTGAAAAATTCTCATATCACAGCCAGATTTTGCAACCAGAACTTTCCCTTATTTCAATCTTTCACAGGAGTCTTGTCTTGTAATCTTCAGGGCAATGTCATGAAAAATTCCACGAGCCCAACCTAGATAGTCTCCTCTTTCCGTGACCCCTTTTTGTCTTGCGCCACGAGCCTTCTTGTGCGTTCGGTGTGGGCGTCAGCATTGTCGCATCCTCTTCGCTGTTCTGTTCGCTGGTTCCTGCTCTTGGTTTCTCGCTGGTTCATCCGTCGGCTCATCATGGTCCCCTTGTCCACCGCAAGCGAGGCGCTCGAATAGAGCAGAACCCCACAGCCCGGGTCATATCGGGCCGCCGAAGTCAGCTGCGTGGCGGCCTTGTGGGTGTAGGAAGTTTCGGGGCTTGATTTTCCTGAAGCCTCCGCTTTCTCATCGAGCACCCACTTTCCGCTTCAGCTATCGCGCACCCAATGCCTGAATTGCTCAGCCTGTCTCCGATTGTGACTCGTCACGTTGTGGCTGGGTTCTCACGTCATCTCAGGCTCTCATCGGAAAAAGCAGTCGAGTGTTCTATGATTTGATGAATATGGGAACGGCCCGTCAACGTCAGTGAAATCCCCTTGCCGCTCCAGGTTGCGGCTTCTCCGGTGACACGGAGAATTGTGCGGCAAGGGAGGGTCAGACACCCGGCGCGGCGGAGGGTGCTTTTGATGGTAGTCGTGAGTGTCTGTCCTCTGGAAAGTATTGGCGCCACCGCGAGGACAGCGAGTAGTATCCACATGGCTCATGCTCAAATCTTTTTCCCCGCACGCGCATGGTCGCCACCCGAGCTAGAATCTTCATGAGCTGATCATTGTCCTCAGAGGGCATTACAGCGAACTCCGCCTGATGAGAACACCTCTTCATGGGATGCTCAGCTTTCTCGGATCGCTTCCGGAGAGTACGGATCGATCGAGCTCCATTGACCTCGGCTCCCGAAATTCGGATCCTCCGCTTATTCGGATTGAAATGGCCTGGTCGCGATGTGTCCCCACCAAGTGGAGTTCAATGCGCATTCGGGGCGCGTCGATATTGGAGCTCGACTGCTGGGCCGATCGGATTGAGAAATCCCCATGGACTCATATTCGATGGAAGACACGGGCCGCACCGCTGGGACGGGATCTGATTGATCGAATGAACCGGATACCGCGGAATCAAACGAGATTTTACCGGCGATTTTTCTTCGAAAAAAGTTTATCGAAGTAGCAGCCCTCCATGTTGAATGGCTAGTTCCACGTGTCTGTCGCGAATAGTCGCGAATAGTCGCTCACCGATAGCAGGTTCATGAGAGGCGGCGGACACTGAGGTAGGAGGTCATACGTGACGCATATGCGTGGTTCGCCTGGATAATGCGTCAGGGATGCGTCGAAAATCCTAGCCCGAATTCGGAAGCATGATCATCTAGACTAGAATGCGTGCAACCAATATCTGTTGCGCTTTTTGTCTGCGATAACATCGAAAACGCATCAGAGCAACGGCTTCGCTTCGAGATGCTCCACCGAGATGCAAGCGCGCGGCTGCGAGACTGAGTCTCGGAATGATAGAGCACCGATGCGATGGGAGCTCATCGTTGGCGAGTTCCTTCTGGCGGCGGAATTTTCGATCGAATCTCTATCCTGGCACCGCCAACGAGTGTCGATTCTTTCCGAGTATCCGACGAAGGGACCGAGCCGTCCTTGTTCTCGACCTGAGTCGGTTCTCAAGATCTGCGGATGCAAGGAGCGACGCCGACGTGGCTACGGGTGCAGAGACTACGAGAACCGTCAGTCATGCTAGCCGAGCAGGGGAGAGTTGACTAGGCAATAGGCAATGAGTTCACTCGCTTCTCCGAAGATCTGACGCAGCCGGATCGCCCAGATATTCTCTCACGAATTCCCTCATAATTGGATTGACGGCCCTCTGGCCGAAGAGCGGCAGATTCCGTTTGTGTCATCGGTGATTCCCCACCCCGCATCCCATCGCAACGAAATGAGCACTCGAAGTTCTGAAATATGAGATGGACGAAAGCGGAAAGACAGCCAAGCTACCTTCGGAGTGCAAGGGAATTCACAGGTTCAATCGCGAAGCACTCGCAGTCCGACCCACGACAGCGAAGCAGAGGAGTCCAAGGACTCATCCAGAAATCTGGTCGGAGGGTGACAGCCGCGGCATCCAATCACACGCCTCCGACTAGGCCAGCTACCCTATGATTCACTGCACTCCGCTCCGTGAGTCAAACTCCCAGATACTGCTCCACGGAATCAATGGAAGAGAAAGTATTCCGAATTCATGGATAGGAAGCGGAATTTGGAGAATCCCGGAAATCCTCCTGTCGAACGCTCTTCAATAAGCCTTGAGGCAGAGGGCAGACGTGGTACTACGGAGCCTCCCTGAGACTGCTCGGGCAGACCCAGCGAACTACGTTGAGCTCTGAGAACTACGCGCCTACTCCGTAGCGTTCGCGTATCGCAGTCCCATCAATGCAGAGTTGAGTTTATATCGGTAGCCAGGGGGAAAAATAGAGTTCCGAAGACCGAATTGGAGACGATGCCTTCCGACTGCATCGCTTCCGCTCGAGAAGAAGAACTTCACCAGAGCGGGAGGCTTGCCGTTGGTGAAGTTTCGAAGGAGACCATAGTGAAAAACTGAACTTGTGCATAAAAACATCTTCGACAGGAGAAATGAGGAGAAGAAGATGGAGGATTTCTGGGACGCGGCCTGAGACGTGGGTGAGAGCGTACTGACGCAATGGCTGGATCGCTAGCTGGCTCCAGCTTGCTGTTTGACTGCTTGTCTGTCTAACCGAGCCAGCCGGCAAACGACCGACCGACCGACCAAGAGACCTACAGACGGATCCAACAAGCAGCTAGCGAACGGAACATTGAGGGGAGAGGGAGAATCGCTTGTGCTGGACAACATTCATCCACCGGCGGGGAGAACCGTTACCGCGCTTCATAGACAGAAGAACGGGGAGTCAGAAGCGTAAAGAACTCCGTGATAGCGGTCTCGAAAACGATAGAAGCTAATCGAATTCCTCGAGTTCTGTACCGTGATTCGGGCTCCGTCCCTCCTGCCAAAGGATATCCGATTGAGCAGAATCTTTTCCGCAGCAGACAGTCGGAGACTGAAGTGATAATCGACTTTTTTGTGAACGATCTCCTTCACTCGGTTGGATGTGACAAGGAAATCTGCGTCTCCAATTCCCGGACTTTCCTTCGTGACTCGATGTCGAGCTACTTCACTGAGGTTAGTTCCTTTTGGCGACCGGGTAGCCGGAGACGGAGACCCATGGATTGTCAGCTCTTTGGTAAACCGGAGAACAAAAATAATCTCTCGACCGTGTCATACTTGAAGACTCAGAGACGATCGACTTTTCCGACTTTTCCTGTATCATTCCTGTTCCGGCGTTCAAGCTCGCAGCGAAGCGATCCAAGTCGATGTAGGTAAATCTGCCGAGAAGAGCCGCGGGAGTTTGGTTCGGCCGAGTTTAATCGCACGGTCATCCATGGCTTGTGGTCTGATTTTTTTGGTGATGTTTTGGGTCAACTTCTCCGAAAACGGGACTGGGTGGAAGCGTGCTTTGATTGAGAGCGGAATCGATTCTGAAGTCGCGAAGGGTTTCGGAATTTTCCTTCCTCCTCCTCACGGAGGCGCGGAGAGCTCCTTCCGAGAGCGATTGATTCCCGCTCGATCTTCAGAGCGGGAACCCGAAAATCTATCGGCCCAAGAATCAAATAACTCTCGCGAGGA